GTGGCTGAGACTGCTGCTGCCGCGCAGGCCCGTTCTGGGAAGGGCCGCCGCCCCAAGGCTGGGCGCGGCGGAGGGGGCGGCGGGGGTGCGGGCGGGGGTAGTGGTGGGGTCGGGTCGCCTGGTGCTGGAGCGGACGAGGGGACCCTGCCCAGTCCAGCTGCGTCGCCGCCCCTGCAGTTGCAACAGCCGCAGCAGCCGCCGCAGTCGCAGCCTTCGCAGCAGCCGCAGCAGCCGTCGCAGACGCGGCAGACGAGCGTTCTCCCGCCAGGGTGGCCCGGCGCTGGCGGTGGACGGGCGCGGGGTGGTGTGCCGCGTGGTGGCTCTGCCGGCGGGCGTTGTCAGTACCAGATCCAGACCGGTCCTCGCCGCGGCTTCGTTTGCGGTAAGATCGGTCACTCCACTCCCCGCTGCTTTCGTCGCCTGGACGACCTCTTTCGTCAGCGTTTCGGCCCGTCGCCAGACCTCCCGGACTGGCACAGTTTGCTTAGTCGTCAGATTCAGATCTTTGATATGGACATGGATGCCATTGTTTCTGCTCTGCATGTGATGTATGCTGATGACTCTAGTGTGCTTCCGACTTATTACTCACTGTTGCCTAGTGTAGGTGTGCCTAGCTTAGCCTCCCCTGCTGCGTCAGGCGTAGGACCCCCTGCTTTGTGTAGTCTTGGTGCTTCTGCCGTCGTTCCGTCGCCAGACCCCTCGGCTTCGCTTTCCTTCACCTTGGACTCTGGCGCCTCTCGGTGTTTCTTCCGCGACTCCACCACCCTGACGCCGCTTCCTGTTCCTGCTGCCGTTTCTCTTGCTGACCCCTCCGGCGGTCCGGTAGTCGCCCGCAGTTCCACCACCCTTCCCTGTCCGGCGGTTCCTTCGGGCTCTCTTACAGGTCTGCATATCCCCTCGTTCTCCAGGAACCTAGTCGGTGTCGGCTGCCTCCAGGACCTTGGCGTCACCACTACGTTCCCTGGTCACGAGCGGTATGCTGTCTGTACCGAGGCCGCCACTGGTGCCCCCCTGTCCACGTTCCCCCGGGACCCGGTGTCCGGCCTGTTCACTCTGGACACCGTGCCCCCCCGGCTGGAGCGCCCCCTCAGGTGGCTGTGTCTACCCAGGTTGCTGCTGCCTGCTCCTGTCGCCCCCTCACTCACCCGACCCTCCTGTGGCACCACCGCCTAGGTCACCCTGCGCTCCCGCGTCTGCGTCACATGTCCCAGCACGGTCTTGTCCTTGGTCTCCCAGGTTCACTCCCCGCGTTTCCCTCCTCCCCAGCTCCACCTTGCACGCCTTGTGTCGAGGGTCGGCTTCGCCGTGCCCCTCACTCCTCCTCGTTCCCCCCTACCGCCGCGTCGCTGCAGACCCTGCACCTGGACGTCTGGGGCCCCGCCCCCGTCCCTGGGCCGCGTCGCGAGCGCTACTTCCTTGTGCTTGTCGACGACTTCACTCGTTACACCACAGTCTTTCCCCTGGAGCGCAAGGCCGACGTGCCTGGCGCCCTCATCCCCTGGCTTGTCTCTGCGCGTGTCCACCGCGGTCTCCCTGTCTTGCGTCTTCACTCAGACCGTGGTGGCGAGTTTGCCTCAGGTGTCCTTGGTCGCTTTTGTCGTGCGGAGGGCATCACCCAGACGTTCACCCTACCGGACTCCCCACAGCAGAATGGGGTCGCTGAGCGACGCATCGGTTTGGTCATGGAGGTCGCTCGCACCTCCATGGTCCATGCCGATGCACCCCATTTTTCTGTGGCCGTTCGCTGTGCGCTACGCTTCTCACCAGCTTAACCTGTGGCCGCACCCTCAGCAGCCGCAGGTTTCGCCGACCCGTCTTTGGACTGGGTCTCCTGGTGACGCGTCTGCGTTCCACGTCTGGGGCTGCCTTGCTCACGTCCGTGCCTCCGGCACGGACAAGCTCACTGCCCGCACCCTTCCCTGCGTCTTCCTCGGTTTTCCCCTTGACGCGTCCGACTGGCACTTTTACCACCCGCCGTCTCACCGCTTCTTTCACTCTCGTGACGTCACCTTTGACGAGTCCGTCTCCTACTACCGCCGCTTCCCCCACCGTGGTCCCCCGGTTACCCCCCCCCTGTTCCTGGTCACCCCTTCCCCGGTAGTCCCTGCCCCTCCTCCTCCTCCTCCCCGTCCCGCCCCCTCTGGTGTCTCCCACGTCACCCCCCTTCCGTCCGTGGACCCGGTTGAGGAGTCTTCTGACTCTGGTGGACCTCCGGTGCAGTCCTCGCCGGCCGTCCCTCCCCAGGTGTCCCCCCCCCGGTCCCCTCCTCCGCCGCCCGTGCCGCCGCTGCAGCCGTCGCCGTCGCCGCCGCCGCTGCCGCCGCCGCCGTCGCAGCCCCCGTTCGCTGACTCTGGGGGTGCTCGTCCCGGTCGCCCTGAGGGTGGTCCCTCTGGGGGTGCGGGTGTGGAGAGTGCCGGTGGTAGCCGAGGAGCAGCTTGCGGTCCCGGTGTCGCCGTTGTGCCGCCGCAGCAGCAGTCCCCGCCGGTGTCCGCCCTTCGCCTGCTTGGCCTTCCGTCCCCCGACCCTGCGTCGGTTCCTCCCCGACCGTCTCCTCCTCTTCCTGTCTACGGCCCTGTTTTCCCTCCGCCGGACTCGTCCCCGGCCCGTCTCCCCCCTCGTTCCCCTCCTGTGTCCCCTCCCCTGTCTCCTGACCCGACTCCTCCATCGCACGTCTGGTCTCACCGTCCCTCCCGTGCTCGTCCTGCCTCGCCTGTCCTGCGCTCCCACCCTATGTTGCTTCGTTCACACGCGTCTCGTCCTCCCCTTCTGCCGTCGCCTCCTCCGTCCTCCCTTGTTGTTGCGCCCCCCCCGCTGTCCGACTACCTTCGTGCCGCTCGTCCTCTCGTTCCTCGGGTCCTTGCCTCTCTCGTTACCGACCCGTCTGTCCCCGTCTCGTGCCTTGCCGCTCTTGTCGCTGCTGTCGCTGACTTCGCCTCTACCCGCCGCCTTGACTACGCCACCGCTCTGGTCTCTGACCCTGCCTGTCCTCCGTCTGTCGGGGGTGCTCCTGCCCTTGGCAGTGACGTCCTGGAGGACCGCCAGTTCGAGCTGGCTTTCCTCTCCGAGGCTGCTCCCCATCTCTGTTCCATGATGCTAGTCCCTGAGGGTGACCCAGACGCTTTCGACATCCCGACCCCTCGCACTTACGCTGAGGCGACTTCGGGACCCTGGGCCTCGCAGTGGATAGCTGCCATGGAGCAGGAGATGGCATCTTGGAGATCCACCGGCACCTTCGTCGACGCAGTTCCCCCACCTGGGGTGAACGTAGTCGATGGCCGCTGGCTCTTCAAGGTGAAGCGCCCTCCTGGAGAGCCGCCTGTCTTCAAGGCGCGCTATGTGGCTAAAGGCTTTAGTCAGCGCGAGGGGGTGGACTTCTTCCAGACTTTCGCTCCGACCCCGAAGATGACTACTCTTCGGGTTCTGTTACACCTAGCTGCTCAGCGTGACTACGAGCTTCACTCCCTCGACTTCTCCACTGCCTTCCTTCAGGGCAGCCTACACGAGCAGGTCTACCTGCGCCGCCCTCCGGGCTTTACTGGCACCTTCCCTCCTGGGACCCAGTGGCTCCTGCGGCGCCCCGTCTACGGCCTGCGCCAGGCTCCCCGTGAGTGGCACGACACTCTGCGTACTACGCTTGCTGACCTGCAGTTCTTTCCGTCTTCTGCAGACCCTTCACTCTTCGTTCGTGCTGGCCAGACTCCGTTCTACATCCTCGTTTACGTCGACGACCTGGTCTTTGCCACAGCAGACAGGGACGCGCTGGCCTCTGTGAAGGCAGAGCTGCTGAAGAGACACACGTGCACTGACCTTGGAGAACTGCGCCGCTACCTTGCCTTGCAGATCTCCAGGGACAGAGCCGCGCGCACCATCACCCTGACTCAGTCACACTTGGTGCGCCAGGTCCTTCAGAGGTTCAGCCTTCAGTTCTCCTCTGCACAGCCCACCCCTCTGCCTGTAGACCACAGGCTCTCCGCTCCAGTGCCTGAGGAGTTTGTAGAGCCCAGCGGCCCCTACGCAGAGCTGGTGGGTTGCCTCATGTACCTGATGACTTGCACTCGCCCAGATCTCGCATACCCTCTCAGCATCCTGGCTCGCTTTGTGGCCACAGGCAGACACCGACCGCAGCACTGGTCTGCCGCTAAGAGGGTTCTGCGTTATCTTGCTAGTACATCGGGCATGGGGTTAGTGCTAGGAGGACGCAGGCCAGCGGTCCTTACTGGGCACACAGACGCTTCGTGGGCAGACGACGCTGAGACACTCCGGTCTACCCAGGGCTACTGTTTCAGCCTTGGCTCAGGTGCCGTCTCGTGGAGAGCTACTCGCTCCTCGTCTGTTGCACAGTCCAGCTGTGAGGCTGAGATCTACGCCGGTGCCATGGCGGCACAGGAGCTCCGCTGGCTGACCTTCTTGCTCACTGACTTAGGTGAGCGGCCTAGCTCTGCCCCGGTCCTGTTCGCTGACAACAGGGCCATGATCCTCCTGTGTCAGGAGCCTCGACTCGAGGGCAGAGCGAAGCACATTCAGCTGCGGTACTTCCTCCTGCGTGAGCTACAGCAGCGACGTCAGGCTCGCGTAGTACACTTGGCCTCAGGTGCCAACATGGCTGATATCTTTACGAAGGCGCTTGCGCCTAAAGATCATCAGCGGCACTGTGTACAGCATGGTCTAGTTCCTGTAGCCTCTCACTTGCTAGGACCTTGACTTTGCACTGTCCTTTATATGTATACTCAGACTGGACTTGTGTCCTCTCCCAGTGGCTGGACTAGTAGTGCCGCCCTGCTCTTGTGCTTGCCTTGTCTGTACTCCTTCTGACCGGTCGCTTAGACCCTTGCCTCAGAGGTTGGACTAGTAGTGCCGCCCTGAGCTGCTTGTTTAGGGTATTCCCCTATGCAGTCTAGGGGGTGTGTCAAACATGTGTATTTGTCATGTTTGTATAGACTGTATAGAGTCACCTCTTAGAGGATACAAAACTTAGATATATTTGTGTGTACTCTCACATTACTATCATTCAATTCTAATTTCTGATAAGAACCTCGAAATTCTTGACCGCCCCCCCTAGACACGCTTTTGGAAAGGACTAAGACCCGCTACAATGCTGAGAAATTCAGGGTTCGCTAAGAAACCTTGCTGAGCGATCAGAGTTAACCCTTACAAAAAACCTGAAAAAACAGGGTGTGTCATGTACAAAACCCTGCAGAATCAGGGTAAGTACCGAGAAACTCCCTGTCTTTTTCCGAAATCAGGAAAATTTTCCTGACTTCTTGGGGCCTGGACCGGAGGATGGAGCGATCATGCAGGCTCAGGTCATTGAGACAGGAGAGCTGGGTGAAGGATGCAGGGAGAGATTCAACGGCTGAACACTTGGACAGATCCAGCTTACGCAGTTTGGACAATGCTCCAATGCTGTCAGGAAGGGAAGTTAACTCTGGTGCAGATATCTGAAGAGATGTCAGGTTCTGGAGCTTCGTCAGAGAGTCTGGCAGCTCATCCATTTCTTTGGCCCTTCCAATCCGTAGCTGCCTGAGCTGCAGCAGACTTGAGACAATATCATCTGGAGGCTTCTTCATGCTCGCAACAGTCATTGTCAAGGTTTTTAGGCGAGAAAGGAATGTCATGGGGAAGGGGAACTCCACCGCACCTCCTTCCAGCACCAGCTCCAAGTGCTCCAGGCGACATAGCCCTCTGCTAATGGCCAGCTTCAACCCACCACTGACACTGACATTGCGTAACCTCAGCTTCTCCAATCTTGACAGCATGGATATATCTGGAAGAGGAATCACCCGCTAGTCGTCGCCCAGGCTCAAGAACTGAAGCGTTGTTGGTAGCGATTCGGGAAGCTGTAATAACAGTTCACACTTTGAAATCTCCAACTCCTTGAGCCTTCCTAGGCTGACCAAGCTCCTGGGGACAGACAAGAGGCTGCTGCAACCTTTAATCCTCAAAATTTCGGGTCTCGGGAGAACCGTGATGGACCCTGGAATCTCCGTGATGTGAAGGCAATGATGGATGTACAGCTGCTGCAGGCTACCCATCGCAGTCATGCCCTCCGGGGGTTCAGAAATCATGCACACGTTGAGCTCAAGCCTGGTTAATGATGATAGCCTGGTGAATGAATATGGCAGCAGCTGCTGCGAGAATTTTTTGCTTCGAAAGAGAGTCTGAAGACTAGCTAGCCCTCGAAAGTCGTCAGGAAGCTGCAGCTCCTCGGTCTCGAGGCAGAGGGACTTCAGCGATGTGAGGCTGGCGAAGCCTGCTGGCAGTTTCTCCATTTCAGCACATTCAATAATGAAAAAGGTCTCCAGGGACGTGAGCTGGCGGAAGGAATCTGGAAGACCTACAATCGGCAGCTTATGCAGCACCAGCGTTTTCAAAACCGGTAGCTCTCCAAAGTTCTCGGGCAGGCTGAGAACGTTGCACGAAGAGATCTTCAAGCTCTGCAAACAGATCAGGGAAGTCAGCTGCTCGGGCAGTTCGGAAAACTTTTCACAGGAGGCAATGCTCAGCTCCGGTAGACACGGCAGCAACTCTCCAATTTCATGAGGAAGACGCTCGAGCCCATCGTACTGTGTCAGCAGCGGCCGTTCGAGGTTTCTGCACAGCGACCCTGACGGGAACATAAGGCCAAACGGCGGAGAGCTGCTGTGTGTTGTATCGAATCGCAGCGACTTTAGCGAGGACAGCAGCGCGAACGAGAAGGGAGCAGCATCCGGATCCGGCGAGCGCTGAAAATGATAACGCTCTTCCCCTAAGCTCAGCCGAGTCTCGTTGCGGAAGGATAGGCTGGTGAGACCTGAAAATTCCACGAGCTTTGTAAGACTACAGCCATTCCGAGCCGACGTCACAAGCGAAAGATTCGCGAGAGAAGAGAAGTTCGCAAAATCCGGATACTCGAGAGCCGAGTCGTCGGTGAGATCCAGAGCTCGCAGGTGCAGCAGCTGAAAGAACGAAGCCGGTAGGTCGACGAACGTGAGGCAGTGAAGCGACAGCCGCTCCAGCTGCGAGCACTGGCGGAAGAAACGGTCGAGTCCAGCCGCGGTCACCGGGTTCTCGTCCTCCCTGCCTTCGTCGTAGCCATCAGCGAGAAAATCCGGTGTCATGTTCTTCCCCACATGGAGCGCCGTGAATTTAGGGCATGCGGATGCGAGGTGATTAAGAAAGGCGTCGTCGGTCCGTTCCACGCTTCCGTCGCAGAGGTGCAGATGGGTGAGGTGTGGGAAACATAAGACGGCATTTGACAGAACTTTGGCGGGAAACGGCGAGGTTTTCGCGCACGAGAAGCGTGGAGACGTAAGGCTGAGCGAGCTTTCGCCAGCGATGGCAGACTGCTGCGGCTGAGAGGCGCGACAGTGAAGGCAGGAGGAGTCGGGATCGGAGCGTCTCTGTCCTTAAGTCGAAGCTCTTTCGTAAAAGGATTCGAGGTGATGTACATCGGCTTCGGCCAGCAAGAGCTCCACAAAATGTCGCTGTCGGATTGGATAGGTTTGGAATGATCGAAGTGCCATAGGATCCGAATGAGTAAGTCGTCTGAGAGGCGATTGATGTGCGCGCGAGCCATGGCGCTGTCCACGCAACTGCAACCTTAGAACAGCAACGTAAGTCCTATGAGTTGAAGGTGGCGAGGAATGCCAGAAAAAACTGTTTAAGGAAAAGGGTGTGTGGCAAGTAGAAATCGAAGCAGTGGGACTGGACCGGAGGTCAGGTACAACGCGGTACATTGTGATTTTGTACGTTTCAAAATATTTGATCAGAGGTACAGAGGTAAGCAATCGGACAATGGGAACGAACGGTCCCTCTGATCAGACTTGCCACACGCCCTATTTTCGGATACTCCTGTTTTGCTGAGGCTCTGCAGCAGGAAGAGGCAGGCTAGTGGTGGTTCAAAGTACAGTAGTGGTTTACTGTACTCCCGTTTTGCTTCCGCTCCGCTTGACCTTTGGCTTCCGCCTCATGCTGGCGGATTTCGCGCAAAGCGCAGCCTGTCTGGCAGGCAGCACCAAACAAGTTCAGAAGTGTGAACTGTTGGGCGAAGAAATCATACGCGTTAAAGTAATCCCGCTATGTGTGCAGCACATCCAGTAGGGGGTGGTACATTTCTTTCGGATTACTTCAACAATATTGAACTATTACAGGGATACCACCTTCGCCAAGTTCGTTATACTTTCCCGCCCCGAGTGGAACTGCCCTTGCGACAATTATTCATAGAGTAACCCTCGTAACGCGCCTTCGCTGTTGTGAGCAGCTGCTTTGCAATAAAGCGCCCGCTATCTCTTGGCTCTTGGGTTTGGGCTACTTTGTCGGCTCGATAGGCTCGACCTTAGGACAGCACTAAAACGGCGAGTTACGTGAACAACGAGAGACCTAAATGAGGCGTCATTTCTGTACGACGAGGTAGTACGTCGAACTGAGTTGCCTCTGGAAAAGCCTCCCGTTCCTGCATCAAAAGTCGCCCATTCACCGCTCGCGCAAGGTATGATCATGGCCCAGATATTATGAGTTTTTCCATGCCGCTCAAGTGTTTTTCTTAGGCGCCTCAAATATAGACCGCTCGCGTAAGGCTCGAACGATCATGGCCCTGGGAGATTTTCCAGGCCGCTCAGCCGTTAGATTCCTCGTGCCCCTTACTATGTGCTTGTAAACTGACATTTGGGTCGGCATAAGGCACATTCGAATCCCGCTCCCTCTCGCTGAATTCCTCTTGCCCCTTACTCTCCGCGTTCTGAAGTCTAGCTTTCGCCGATTCTTAAAGCCCGCGACCTGAGTTTACCAACTGTAAAACTGTTGCTCCATGCCCCTCTCGCTGAATTCCTCTTGCCCCGTACTCTCCGCGTTCTGAAGTCTAGCTTTCGCCAATTCTTAAAGCCCGCGACCTGAGTTTACCAACTGTAAAACTGTTGCTCCATGCCCCTCTCGCTGAATTCCTCTTGCCCCGTACTCTCCGCTTTCTAAAGTCTACCTTTCGTCAATTCACTCCATGACCCTCCATTCCCCTCTCGCCAAATTCCTCCTGTTCCTCCGGGGAAAGCCCGACAGGAGCAGGAGGAATCCAGCGAACCCCCTTGCCGCTGTGCCCCTCTCCTCTTCCCCCCACTTTCTACCTCCGTTCCTCCTCTGCCCTATCTCACTATCTTGCTTCATCTCTTCGCCTCCCCCCCCCGCCCGCTTTCCCCTTCCCTTCCTTTCCTTTCCTTTCCCCAAGATAAATCAGTACAGTATTTAGTGCACCATCTCTCCCACCCCCCTCCCTCTCCCCATCTCTCCCACCTCCCTCCCTCTCCCCATCTCTCCCACCCCCCTCCCTCTCCCCATCTCTCCCAACCCCCTCCCTCTCCCCTCTCCCACGCCCCTCCCTCTCCCCATCTCTTCCTCCGCAGCATTCACTGAGCGTCCTTGCCTTTTGGCCTGTACATCCCACTTCTCCGCTTGCATTGCTTACAGCAGATCACTCCGTAGCGAGGATGGCCAAACACAAGGATCCAGAGTTCGTCCAAGTTTTTGTCCTGCTGTGTTCTGTATCCATTATTGGCGTGTATGCCCCGCGCGTTTCTGCTTACAGCGGATCGCTCTATATCAGGGATGGCGAAGCGCAAGGAGGACCCGGTACTGCCAGAGGACGCCCATGACAAGCTGGAGCTGATGCCGCTGGGCGCGGGCAACGAAGTGGGCAGATCCTGTGTGTTCATGTCGTACAAGGGGAAGAACGTGCTGGTAAGGAAGGAGGGTGTCGAAGGGGGGGGGGAGGGGGAGGGTATGTGTTGATCAAGTTGGCGCATGACAAGCTGGAGCTGATGATGCCGTTGGGCGCGTTCAACGAAGTGGGCAGATCCTGTGTCTTCATGTCCTACTGTCCTACAAGGGGAAGAACGTGCTGGTGAGGGGTTTGGGGGTTGGGGTGTTGAAGGGGGGAGGGAGGGGGGAGGGTACGTGTTGATAGAGTTGGCGCATGCCAAGCTGGAGCTGATGATGCCGCTGGGCGCGGGCAACGAAGTGACAAGCTGGAGCTGATGCCACTGGGTGCGGGGAATGAAGTGTGGTCATGTCTTATAAGGGGAGGAACGTGCTGGTAAAGGGGGCGAGGAGATCTCTTACCTGAGACACTATGTGTCAATCCCCTCCACGCTCTTTCGTCATCTACCCATACCTCCACCACCCACCACCCCTCACCTCCTTTCCTCTTTCCTCCTTTCCTTTAGCATTTCCTTCTTCCCGCCTCCCTTTATGCCCTCAGTCCCACCAATCAACCCTCCCTCCCAATCCTCCCAATCCTCCTTCTCGATTTTTCCACTTTCCCCCCCTATCGCCAGTTTGACTGTGGCATCCACCCCGCCTATTCGGGCATCGCTGGGCTGCCCTTCTTTCCCCCCCTTGCGCCATCTACCTACTTTCACTTCCATTCCCCTCTCCCACCCCGCCCCCTCCCCTTCCCCTTTCCCCACTTCTCCCCCCCTCCCCCCCCTAAACCCCCTCTCCCCCCCCCCCCCCACCTGCCCCTGCCAGTTTGACTGTGGCATCCACCCCGCCTATTCCGGCATCGCTGGGCTGCCCTTCTTTGATGAGATCGACCCCTCCTGCATTGACGTGCTGCTCATCACCCAGTGAGTGCTTGCTAGTTACTGGTGGTGGGCGTTGACCTCCATTGACCCACGTTGACTAGCGTTGACTGGCGTTGACTGGCGTTGACTGCCATTGACCCGCATCGATCGCTGGGCTGCCCTTCGTTGATAGATCGACCCGTCCTGTGTTGACGTGCTGCTCGTGACCCAGTGAGTGCTGGTTGCTTGCTGGTCAACAATAACCAAAGTGCACTGCTTTCTGTTGTCTCGAATTGACTGGCATTGACCCGTGTCGACTGGCATGGATCACCGTTGCAGGTTCTCCCTTCGTTGCCCGTCCGTGTCTTTCTCCCCAAGTCTCGATGTGCGCGTCTGTCTGTCTTTCTCTGAACTTATCCCGTTTCTCCTCTCCTTCCCCTTCCTCCCAACTCCTTCCCCTGATTCCCCCTCCGTTTCCCCCTTCCCCTTCCTCCCCCTCCTTTCCTCTCCTTCCCCTTGATTCACCCTCCGTTCCGCTCCTTCCCCTTCCTCCCCCTTCCGTTCCGCTCCTTCCCCTTCCTCCCCCTTCCGTTCCGCTCCTTCCCCTTCCTCCCCCTTCCGTTCCGCTCCTTCCCCTTCCTCCCCCTTCCGTTCCGCTCCTTCCCCTTCCTCCCCCTTCCGTTCCGCTCCTTCCCCTTCCTCCCCCTTCCGTTCCGCCCCTTCCGTTCCGCTCCTTCCCCTTCCTCCCCCTTCCGTTCCGCTCCTTCCCCTTCCTCCCCCTTCCGTTCCGCTCCTTCCCCTTCCTCCCCCTTCCGTTCCGCTCCTTCCCCTTCCTCCCCCTTCCGTTCCGCTCCTTCCCCTTCCTCCCCCTTCCGTTCCGCTCCTTCCCCTTCCTCCCCCTTCCGTTCCGCTCCTTCCCCTTCCTTCTCCTCCATCCCCTCCTCCCATCCCGTGCTTTCCATCCTTCCCCCCATCTGCAGCTTTCATCTGAACCATGTTCTATATACAAGGCGCCTCAAAACTTCCCCTCCCCTTTCCTGCTGTTCTTACACCCCCTCCTCCCCTCCCTCCCCCGCAGTTTTCATCTGGACCATGCAGCATCTCTCCCCTATTTCATTATGAGGTGCCGAAAAACGTTCCCTCCCGTTTCCTCCTGCTCTCCTCCCTCCCCTTCCCTCCCCTCTCTTCCCCGCCCCCCCCCCCCCCCCACCCCCGCAGTTTTCATCTGGACCATGCAGCATCTCTCCCCTATTTCCTCGCTAAGGTAAGCTTCACTGCACTGTCAGAGGGTTTGAGAATTCTCAAAACACCTATTCCTAGAAGGTAAGCTTCAGTGCATGATCAGAGGTCAGTACCGAGGGCGAGGGGGCTGTTGAGCCCCGCCCCGGTCCAGATGCTGGGAGCCAGTGTGTGTGTGTGTGTGTGTGTGTGTGTGTGTGTGTGTGTGTGTGTGTGTGTGTGTGTGTGTGTGTGTGTGTGTGTGTGTGTGTGTGTGTGTATGTGTGTGTGGGCCTTCAGTCAGCTCAAAAGTCACCCCGAGGTCAAGGTACTGCCGTGGAGTCATGCGTAAGGAGTCTATTTTTTAGGCGCCTCAATAGACTCCTCAAGCTACTGTCGTGGAGTCATTTTTTTGAATTCTAAAAAATGACACCTTCGAAGGTAAGCTTCAGTGCAATATCATAGATCAGTACGGAGGGTCCCGTCCCGACCGGATGCTGGGAGCCGACTTTTGAGTTGACTCAAAAGCCAATGTGTGCCTTCAGTCAGCTCAAGCTATTGTTGTTTTTTAGGCGACTAAATAAATGCACTATCGGAGGGTGTACCTAGGATCAATCTGCGAGCCGATGTGTGCTCTCACTCGGCTTGGAAACATGGCTTTAATTTAAAACACATATTGACCAAGGCGGGTGTATCACCTGCTGCTGTCAGACTCCGTGCAAGTCAGCAAGGTGGCTGCTGATGTCGCATTCCCTCCCACCCGCCCCCCCCTCCCCTGCCCCCCCAGCCCAACCCCCCCTTGCTTCGCCAGACCAACTTCCAAGGCCGTGTCTTGACTCATGCCACCAAGGCTGTGTATCGCCTGCTGCTGCCATCCTTTGTGCGAGTCTGCAAGGTGGCTGTGGATGATGCTCTCGTTTCCAACCACCCTCCATCCTACCGCCCACTATCCTACCACCTATCCCACCCCACCTGTCCCCCATCCCCCACAGACCAACTTCCAGGGGCGGGTGTTCTTTATGACTCATGCCACCAAGGCCGTGTATCGCCTGCTGCTGTCAGCTTTTGTGCGAGTCAGCGAGGTGGCTGCTGATGTCGCATTCCCTCCCACCCGCCCCCCCCTCCCCCGCCCGCCCAGCCCAACCCCCCCTTGCTTCGCCAGACCAACTTCCAGGGGCGAGTCTTTATGACTCATGCCACCAAGGCCGTGTACCGCCTGCTGCTCTAAGACTTTGTGCGAGTCAGTTAGGTGGCTGTGGACGATGCTCTGTGGCCTGCCCTCCCCTCCCTCTCCACACAACCAACTCCCCTCCCCCCCCCCCCCAACACCCCACCCTCCCCCTCCTTCCCCACAGACCAACTTCCAGGGGCGAGTCTTTATGACTCATGCCACCAAGGCCGTGTACCGCCTGCTGCTGTCGGACTTCGTGCGAGTCAGCAAGGTGGCTGTGGACGATGCTCTGTTCACGGAGCAAGACATTCAGCAGAGCATGGAGAAGATCGAGGTGCGAGGGGGAGAGTGAGTGAGAGTGAGGGAGTGATTGAGAAAATGTGTTTGTGAGAGAGAACGAGTCAGCAAGGTGGCTGTGGTGGACGTTGCATTGCCACGGAGCAGGACATTCAGCAGAGCATGGAGAAGATCGAGGTGCGAGGGGGAGAGTGAGTGAGGAAATTTGTGAGTGAGGGAGTGAGTGAGAGAAAAGGAGGCAAGGTGGCGGTGAACGATGCGCTGTTCACGGAGCAGGACATTCAGCAGAGTATGGAGAAGATCGAGGTGCGAGGTGGGGGACGCAGGCATGTGCGTAGAGCAGCTTGTGTTGCGTTGCATGGTGAATTGAATGTTACCCCCCTCCTTCATCCCGCCCCCCTCAGGCGACTTTTGAGTCGACTCAAAAGTCACCATGGTGAATTGAGTGTTACCCCCCTCGTTCATCCCGCCCCCCTCAGGCCTTAGACTTCCACCAGAGCCACGAGGTCAACGGCATCAAGGTCGACCTCGTGGCACCAGAGCCACGAGGTCAACGGCATCAAGGTCGACCTCGTGGCACCAGAGCCACGAGGTCAACGGCATCAAGGTCGTGGCACGACTTCTACACTGCAGGCCATGCGTTCGTCCATTCCCGTGTCTCTCACTTCCCTCAACATCGCTCTGTCTCTACCGCCTCATACCCCAACACCAGGTGATTGACTTTCACCAGAGCCGCAAGATCAACGGCATCGGGTTCTGGTGCTATTCTGCAGGCCTGCGGGAATCCTGGAGAGGACCGGCATCGGCATCGGAGGAGATTCCTGCAGTATGCCGATGCCGGTGCTGGGGCTACTGCAGGACTCTCCTCCTATGCCATCTCCTTCCCTCTCTCTCTTTTGTTCTCCCTCCCCCACTCTTTTCCCTTGCAGGTGATCGACTTTCACCAGATTCACGAGGTCAACGGAATCAAGTTCTGGTGCTACACAGCGGGCCACGTGCTGGGAGCAGCCATGTTTGCGGTCGATATAGCGGGAATCAGAGTGCTCTATACGGGGGATTACTCGAGAGAGGAGGACAGGCACCTCAGGGCGGCAGAAGTGCCTCCTTTCTCTCCTGAGTTGTGTGTCATCGAGTCGACATTTGGGGTGCAGGTGAGGCCGTTGCTCAACGTGCTTGCTATCGACAGAGTGGGAACCAGATTGTTTTTATAAACGAGGTGACTTTTGAGTCGACTCAAAGGTCGCCACGAACCAGATTGTTTTTATGGTAGTTTACTCCCAGGAGGAGGACAGGCACCTGCGGGCAGCCGAAGTGCCTCCGTTTCCTCGGCATTTATCTTGTGACGGGCGCAGGAGCTGCTGCTGATTCTGGACGAGCACTGGAGGGGGGGTTTGGTGATCACGGGGTTGGAACGGACCGCTGTTGAGTACAAGAGCTGCTGCCGATTCTATTCCCGTTAAATTTGCCTTTTGCCTGCTCTCTTCTCCCTCCTCTACCCAACCCTCAGATCCACGAGCCGAGGGAAGTAAGAGAGAGGCGTTTTCTCGACTTTGTCGTCGGCACGGTGCTGAACGGAGGGAGGGTGCTGATCCCGGCGTTTGCCCTCGGGCGAGCCCAGGAGCTGCTGCTGATTCTGGACGAGCACTGGAGGGCGCACCCCGAGGTCCAGCACGTGCCGTTGCTGTATGCCTCGCCGCTTGCCAGAAAGACCATGGTGGTGTACCGGTGAGAGTGAGGGAGGGAATGTGGGGGTGAGTGTGCGAGGGCAGAGGCACGTGCCGCTGCTGTATGCGTCACCCCTTGCCCACAAGACCATGGTCGTTTACCAGTGAGTGGGTGTGAGGGAGTGAGTGTGTTGCCAAGAAGACAATGGTCGTGTACCAGTGAGAGTAAGGGAGGGAGTGAGGAGGAGGGAGTGAGGGAGTGAGTGCGCTCCCGTTGACTTCCGATTCATCAACTCTTGGAATCTTCTGGATCACCTCAAGGTCACCTGCATTCCCCACCCACCCCTCCTCCCCCTTTCCCCACCCCCCCTTCCTCCCAGCACTTACTTAAGTGCCATGAACGACCGCATTTGGGAGCAGGCAGAGGTGTCCAACCTGTCCGCTTGATCAAGTCTCAGAGTAGTCTGAGTCAACTCAAAATATCCCTCCTTTTCCCACTCCCCTCCCCCCTCCCCCCTCCTCCTCCCCTTCCTCCCCCTTTCCCCCCTTCCTCCCAGCAGTGGAGCTAATGACCGCATTCGGGAGCAGGTGGAGGTGTCCAACCCATTTGAATTCCGCTTCATCAATTTCAGACGGCCTTAGTAATCTGCTCAAGACGAACCCTCCACTCGCCCCTCCCTCACTTTTCCTCCCAGCACTTACCTAAGCGCCATGAACGACCGCATTCGGGAGCAGGCGGAGGTGTCCAACCCGTTTGACTTCCGCTTCATCAAGTCGCTCCGCAGCATAGCGGAATTCGAGGACACGGGCCCGGCGGTGGTCATGGCCAGCCCGGGGGGGCTGCAGAGCGGGCTCTCAAGACAGCTGTTTGACATGTGGTGCCAGGACGCCAGGTGAGGATAGCAGGGTGTGAAAGGGGGTAGCAGAATTCGAGGACACGGGCCCGGCGGTGGTCATGGCCCGCCCTGGGGGGCTGCAGAGCGGCTTATCAAGACAGCTGTTTGACATGTGGTGCCAGGATGCAAGGTGAGAAGGGAAAGGTGAGAAGGCGGAGGTCCAAGAAACTTGATTTGCATCCGCTTGGATGCCAATCAAGGTGAGAGACTTGGCGTCCGCAATGCCGCTTGGCGTCCGCTTCACCAAGTCGCTCCGCAGCATTGCGAAATTCGAGGAGACCAGCCCGGCTGTCGTCATGGCCAGCCGGGTAGGGCTGCAGAGTGGCCTTTCCTGACAACTCTTTGACATGTGGTGCCAGGACGCCAGGTGAGGAGAAGGGAAAGGTGAGAAGGCAGAGGTCCAAGAAACCCGTTTGACTTGCGCTTCGTCAAGTCGCTCCGCAGAGTTTGAAAACACGGGCGCAGCTGTGGTCATGGGGCCCGGGAGGGCTGCAGAGCGGCTTATCCCGGCAGCTCTTCGACATGTGGTGCCAGGACGCCAGGTGAGGGGGGGAGGAGAAGGGGAAGGGGAAGGGGAAGGGGAAGGGGGGCTCTAGGGCATTGCAGAGTTCGAGGACACGGGCCCGGCGGTGGTCATGGCGAGTGCAGGTGGTTTGCAGAGCGGTTTATCCCAGCAGCTCTTTGACATGTGGTGCCAGGATGCGAGGTGAGAAGAGGTGCCCAACACCCTTAAGGTGCGCAGCTTTGACTTCGGCTTCATCAAAAGTCGCTAAGAAGCACACCAGAATTCGAAGGTCGTTGTCACGGCCCCGGTGGCTTGCAGAGCGGTTTATGTGGCGGTGGCCAGCCCTGGAGGCTTGCAGAGCGGTTTTTGTGGCGGTGGCCAGCCCCAGTGGCTTGCAGAGCGGTTTATGTGGCGGTGGCCAGCCCCTGTCGCTTGCAGAGTGGTTTATATGGCGGTGGCCAGCCCCGGTGGCTTGCAGAGCGGTTTATGTGGCGGTGGCCAGCCCCTGTGGCTTGCAGAGCAGTTTATGTGGTGGTGGCCAGCCCCAGTGGCTTGCAGAGCGGTTTATGTGGCGGTGGCGCCCCGGTGGCTTGCGAAGTGGGCTTTCCAGGCCAAGCAGACTACCCCCAGGCCTCTGATTTCTTGGAGTGGCTGCGGCCGCCGCAGTCGCAATCTCAGATAGTGCTGGTGCACATTTTTTTGGCGCCTAAAAAATCGACGACTTTTTGGGCGATTTCTGAGGTGCCTAAAAAATATACGTTTTTTTAGGCGATTTCCGAGGCGCCTAAAAAATAGACGAATTTTAAGGCGATTTCTGAGGCGCCTCAAAAATAGACTCCTCATGGCCATGCGGACTACCCCCATACCTCTGGTCTCTTGGAGCAGCTGCCGCCGCCGCAGATAGTGCTGGTGCATTTTGAGGCCACCGAGATGGGCCGCCTGCGAGCCAAGCTCACCCCCCCACTTCAACCAGCCCCCCTTCCCCCACTCCCCTCTGCTGTTTCCTCTCCTTTCTTTTCCAGAAACACGTGCTTGATTCCGGGCTATGTGGTGGAGGGCACGCTAGCCAAGACCATTCTCAGTGAGCCGAACGAAGTCTCCCTCCAAAACGGCACCACCGTCCCGCTGCGCATGAAGGTGCACTACGTGTCGTTCGCCGCACACGCAGACTACCCCCAGACCTCCGACTTTCTGGAGCAGCTGCACCCGCCGAACATAGTGCTGGTGCATGGGGAGGCCACCGAGATGGGGCGCCTGCGAGCCAAGCTCACGGCGCACTTCGCCCAGCGGCCCGACCCGCCCACGATCCACACGCCTAAGAACTGCCAGGCAATGGAGTTTTTCTTCAAGGGGGAGAAGATTGCGAAAGTGGTGGGGAGGATTGCGGAGAGAGGGTGCTCCATGCCGCCGGCTGATGGGAAGGGGGAGGGTGATTGTGGCGGTAGTATCGTTGCTGCTGCTGCTGGGGGGACTGCTGTGGGTGGTGGGGCTGATGGTGGTGCTGGTGGTGGTGCCATAAAGGCAGCAGAGGGTCGGGGAGTGGTAGGAGTGGTAGCAACAGTAGCGCAAACAGGCACAGGAGCAGCAACAGGGGGAAGAGCAGGACTTGAGGGAGCATCAGAGGGAGCAACAGAGGGAGAGAAAGCACCAGGGGCGGGTGCAACAGGGGGGGCAGCAGGGAGAACGATCAGTGGGCTGCTAGTGCGCAAGGGCTTTAACTACCAGCTTCTAGACCCTCGAGACCTCCCCTCCTATACCTCGCTTGCCCTAGGCAGGGTTGTTCAGCGGCAGTCCATCCCCTATATAGGCCCATTCGAACCCATTATAAGGCGCCTGGAGATGCTGTTCGACTCGGTTGTGATTATAAAGGACGCGGACGTGCCGGCGGTGCACGTGCATGAGAAGGTGATTGTAGCGAGGGAGGGGGACGATAGGGTTGTGCTGCAATGGGTGTCTGAACCCATGGGGGACATGCTGGCAGATTCGATTGTGGCTTTGATTCTGCAGCTGGAATCCGGGCGGCAGACTGGGAAGGAGCTGAAGATGGTGACGTCAGCAGGAGGAGGACGAGGAGGAAGAGGAGGAGGGAAAGGTGGGGAAGTGAAGGGAGGAGATGCGACAGTCAAAGGGGAGGCATCAGATGGGAAGGCAGGGGCTTTGGTTGTTAAGGAAGATGGGAAGGAGGGTAATGAGGGGGGCGACGAGAAGGGCAAGGAGGGCGAGGGCAAGGAGGGCGAGGGCAAGGAGGAAAGTCAAGAGGAGGGAAAGAAGGAAGGTGCGGAGGAGAAGGGCCTTGTGAAGGGAGAGGAGGGGCAAGGAGAGGGAGAGGGAGAGGGAGGAGGGAAGTGGAGGTGGCTTAAAAAAGAAGAGATGGATCATTTGGAGAGGGTTCTAGAGAGCATGTTCGGAGGGGTGAGGAGGGACGGTGACGAGGGGCTGAGAGTGAGTGTGGATGGGGTGGAGGTGAGTGTGCGAGTGGGGGAGGGAGGAGGGGAGGTGCAGTGTGCAGAAGAGGGGTTGAGGAAGAGAGTGAGGGAGGCCGTGAATCGGTTTCTAGCCGCCGTCCGGCCGATCCCTTGTCCTTAGTACCATAAGTGTTTTGACTTAGCGAATTCTAGTTGTAAAGGATGGCTGGGTGATCTTTACACATCTTACAAGACCATACCAGGCTTTGACAGGCTGCCATGTGACTCCTGTGCTAAATTCCAGGTGCAAACCAGAGCCAGAATTTTACATCTTGGCTTGAACTTTTCATTCAGAAACCGTGGTCCCATGATCTAGCGGTTATGATGTCAGACTCTGAATCTGAATGCCCGAGTTCAATTCTCGGTGGGACCTCGTCAAAGATTTTACTTTTGGACAGCGGAGTCCACATCAGCCTTCGAATAGTCAGGCACATCACCTTGTGCCACTATTGTCAGTTGTGTTCAGGGTGCAAATCACTGGATAGTCATTTAATTTTTAAGCACCAACGCATATTGGCAGGCGTCTAGATCAGATTCCGTAGTAGGTAGGTAGGTGTTTTCCAGTGACCAAGCCACTGCTCATCCATCTTGCTATGCCGACCTGGGGTGTGTGAGAAGCCCACCAAACCAGATGCACACTAGAGGGAGTGAGGAGGACCAAACCAAACCCACACCCTGGTCACTAATCCAGCAGCACTCTCTTCAACACCGCACACCATCGCATGCATGCAGAAGGTTCTCCTTCCCGTCCTAGGCAACGGCAAACTCAGCTCACTGCTCCCCCCCTCCCCCCCCCCCAGCAGGCTGTTCAACGCCCCTGCGACAGCATCAATCGCCTCCAGAAGGTTCTGGAGCGAAGTCCACCAGCTGTAGAGAGGGCGAATGTTCACTGTTCACTGCCCACCGCCCTTGTGGCCTCGTGGACCTTCAGTCACCACCTACCACCTACTCCCCCAGCAGTCCCTTCAACACCCTTGTGACAGCGTCTATGGCCTCCTTAAAGTTTTGGGCTATCGCCGCGCACCCATCAATGCCCACCATCCTCCAGGCCCTTCAGTCACCGCCCACCGCCGCCTACTCCTCTCCCAACAGTCCGTTCAACGCCCCTGTGACTGCATCGATCGCCCCCAGAAAGTTGTTGTCATCTCCCCCCACCCATCAATCCCCACCGTCCTCGTGGCCCTTCAGTCACCACCGCTCACCGCCTGCTCCTCCCCCAGCAGTCCGTTCAACGCCCCTGTGACTGCAACGGTCGCCTCCAAATCGTTGCTGTCAATCTCCCCATGCCCATCCATGGCGTGAGCTAAGTCATGAGCTGGAGGGAGGGGGGGTGCCTATTGCCCACCGTTTTTTTACGCCCTCAAGCACCTACCTACTCCCCCAACAGTCCGTTCAACGCCCCTGTGACAGCATCCACGGCCTCCAAATCGTTGCTGTCGATCTCCCCATGTCCATCCATGGCGTGCGCAAAGCCCACCAGCTGCAGCGACTGGGGAGAAGAGGAGCACCAAACGCACACTCGTCTCACTGCTCCGCAACCTGCTCCTCTGCCAGCAGCCCGTTCAACGCCACAACCACACCATCTATGGCCTCCAGAAAGTTGCTATCGATCTCCCCATGCCCATCGATGGCATGAGCAAAGTCCACCAGGCGCAGGGAGGGCGGGTGCCCCTGCGTGCTCCCAGTGGGAGCTTCGTAGATGAGGAGGATGGAGGCAGAGAAGAAATGGAAGGTGGTCTGCTGGGCGAACCTGGGGTGAAGAGCGAAGGGAGGAGAGAAGAGGCGAGTGGGAGTTTGAGTTAAGGGGTGCGAGAGGGAGGGTGCGCCTGGGTGCTCCCGTTGGGATCCTCATGGATGAGGAGGATGGAGGCGAAGAAGAAGTGGACGGTGGTCTGCTGGGCGAACCTGCAAAGGCAGGTTTGGGTGAGAGAGGGGGTGAGTTAAGGTGTGAGTGAAGGGGTGCAAGATTCGCCCGGGTGCTCCCATTGCCATGCTCTGAGATGAGGAGGATGGAGGCGGAGAAGAAGTGGAAGGTGGTCTGCTGGGCGAACCTGCAGGTCATTGGCGGAGGTTGAACAAAGGGATGGGAGTAGCGGAAAGGGAAAGGGGCGAGGGAAAGGGGCGAGGGAAAGGGGCGAGGGAAAGGGGCGAGGGAAATGGGCGAGTAGACAGGTGAACAAACGAAGGATGAGAAAGGGGAAGGGGAGAGAGGAGGATGGCGTGAGAGATGGCAAGTTTGACGAACATAAAAACGCACCGAAGACACCCCAACACAGGGCATCTGGTCCCCATTCCTCTTACCAGTCCCTGAGTGTCTGCAGCTGCGCCAGCAGCCCCCCTTCTCCACACAAGACGCTTCGCATCCTCTCTTTCGCAGCAGCACTGACATCACCGGAAGCAGTAGCAGCAGCATCACTAGTACCATCGCCAGCAGCACTACCAGCAGCAATGGCGTCGATGGCAGGGGCGTCAGCGGTGGGAGTGAGGGAGAAGAAGAGGCGGAAGACAGCTGGCATCTGCTGATTGGTCAGGTTCTGGCACCACTTGCGGTCGGCCCGCCACATGGCATCAGTGCTGCTGTCGTGCACCTGCATGCCTGCAATCCTGTAGCCCAGCGTGCCGGATGTGGTGGTGGCGTCTTTCACCCTGCAGATAGATAGATACAGGAAGTGGAAGGTGGTCTGCTGATGTAGGAGTCGTAAGGAAGGAGAGAAGAGGTCAATTGGCAGACCGCCCGCCACATGCGGCCAGTGCTGCTGTCGTGCACTTGCATGCCCGCTACCCTGTAGCGGGAATGATCACTGTCCTTTCACCAATGATCACTGTCCTTTCACCAATGTTCACTGTCCTTTCACCAATGTTCACTGTCCTTTCACCAATGATCACTGTCCTTTCACCAATGATCACTGTCCTTTCACCAATGATCACTGTCCTTTCACCAATGTTCACTGTCCTTTCATCAATGATCACTGTCCTTTCACCAATGATCACTGTCCTTTCACCAATGTTCACTGTCCTTTCACCAATGATCACTGTCCTTTCACCAATGCAATGCGGCACATGCAGGCGCCTGCGAGGCATTCTTGCTGCACATGCAGCAGAGTGGGAGGCTCACGCACGTTTGTCGATGAGATATTGATAAGCTTCTTGGCATGTGCGAGAGTGCCAATGGGCTTTTCAAGGTCTCATCGACGTAAGTTTGGAGACGTGTCAAAGCATGTCCCACGGGCCAAGAGAGGCTAACAGGCAAAGAACGAGACTCACAGGCATTTGTCAATGTACTTCTGAGGAGCCCCCTGGTACCGTGTCTTCCAACGTGCATACCCGTTTGCTCTAAGATGCGCCAAAGCGTGTTCGAACGGGCAAAGCGGCTCACAGGCAAAGCGGCTCACAGGCAAAGCGGCTCACAGGCAAAGAGGCTCACAGGCAAAGAGGCTCACAGGCAAAGAGGCTCACAGGCAAAGCGGCTCACAGGCAAAGAGGCTCACAGGCATTTGTCGATGTACTTCTGAGGAGCCCCCTGGTACCATGTCTTCCGCCCCATCTGCATGCAGGGGGATGAGAGATGGTGGGGGAGGCGCATGGAGTGGTGCAAGGATGCTTGTTTAGACGTATGGTCGCAGAAGAACTCATGCTCATACAGAGTAACGACACACGAGCATGAATGTAAATGTCTTCTGACACACGAGCATGAATGTAAATGTCCCTGAGGCATGCCACAGATGCATGGCTTCACATTCACCATGCTTTCCAACATGCCCCCCTCACCTTGATGTCCATGATGCATGGAAGCTTGTAGTTCCTTGTGAGATCCTCCATTACAAGAAACTGTGCAGCATGAAGAGCGAGCAACACATTCGAGACACGCCATCACACAGCCGTAGCATCACGAATTCGAGACACGCACACCCACCCACACACGCATTCACACGCGCACACACTCGCCAGTGCACGCACACGCTCACACGCCCATGCACGTGCGTGCGCGCACACACACATGCACGCATGCACATGCGCATTCACATGTACACATTCACACGCCCAGATTCACATGCACACATTCACACGCCCACATTCACATGCACACATTCACACGACCACATGCACATGCACACATTCACACGACCACATTCACATGCACACAGTCACATGCCCACATTCACATGCACACATTCACACGCCCACATTCACATGCACACATTCACACGACCACATGCACATGCACACATTCACACGCCCACATCCACATGCACACATTCACACGACCACATGCACATGCACACATTCACACGCCCACATTCACATGCACACATTCACATGCACACATTCACACGCGCCCACACACAAGGGTGCACGCCAACACATCCAGGCGGGCCTTCATTGCACAAGCCGCAGGCCGAAATGTCGGGAGTTTTGCGACGTCTCAAACGATGTTGGATCGGAAGTAGGATTGCCAGGAGGTTGGAAATGAGCGATAATATAGGGAGGGATAGAGGATAGAGGATAGAGGAAAGAGGATAGAGGATAGAGGATAGAGGATAGAGGAACGAGGATAGAGGATAGAGGATAGAGGAACGAGGATAGAGGAAAGAGGATAGAGGAACGAGGGGAGAGGAAAGAGGATAGAGGAAAGAGGATAGAGGAACGAGGATAGAGGAAAGAGGATAGAGGAACGAGGGGAGAGGAAAGAGGATAGAGGATAGAGGAACGAGGGGAGAGAATGGAGAGTGGGGGGAACGGGGAGGGAGGAAGGGTAAAGGTTGACGAGAGGAGAGGAGGAGAGGAGGATGGAGAAGCAAAGAAGAAACGGGGAGGAGTTAAGGAAGGAACTTATCGAATGACGCTGAGGATTAGAACGAAGCGCATAATGGAGAAGGGTTGCTGTGGAGAGAGACACCGAGGCACTGCCAAGAAGCGAATGCCAAGAGGCACTGTTTTGAAGGTTTTTCTAAACTGGAATGCACTGCCGGTAACTTGAGGCTACAACCCGCAACGCAAAGGGAACGGTCAATGAAACAAGGTGTGTTCGGGTCTTGGTATGTCATGGGTATGGTCTGAAGTAGTGCAGCTATGAGCATGGGTCCACTACCTCAGAAAGTGGATGCTACAGGAAACAGAGATCGGGGAGGGGGAACACAATTGGGCAGAGTAAGCCAAAGCTTTTGGTCACAGCACAGGGAGGGCGTGGAGGAATCGCGGGCGGATATTCACTGGTGTAAGCTGCTCCTCCGCCCCTTGCCCAGCAGCAGCGGCAACGGCAGCAGCAGCAGAAGCCGACGCGGCAGCAGCAGCGCCAGCAGCAAGAGCCGCTGAGGGCGTGTGAGCCGGCGGCAGCAGCACCTCCTTGCTGCCGTGGCACGCAGGGAACATGGCTTTAATCTCCGCAGGTATAGACTCGTCCGCAGCGATCTTATTGTAGAAGTTTAGCTCCTTCTCGCCGCGCTCGCCTGCCTGCATCGGCTTATAGAAGCACCCCGAGTCGTCTACTAACGAGCCCTGCCGGCCCTCTGGTGAGATAGAAGAGGCAGGAGGGGGGGGGGGGCGGGGGGAGGGGGAGTGGGGGGGAGGGGAGAGGAAGGGGGGGGATGATGCGTGACATGGCAAGACCAGAACAAAACCAGAGCGCTATGACAATCTCAGTCAACAAGGCACGCCCTTTACTTATATCTGTTATCGTTTAGCAACTCCCCCCCCCCCCCCCCCGCGTGTTTCAACATAATGGCAAGCGGTTAGATGTTTCTATTAGTAGGCCAAAACAATAGGACCCTCCGGGCTCCTCACTTACTCGCTATCCCCCGTTCTCCCTCTCCGCTCACCCTCGAATCTGTGGCCAGCCACTTGATGCTCCGCGGGTTTCAACATAGTGGCAGCCGTCTGATGCTTGACGCGGCGATAACGTTACACGCGGAAATGTTGCTCTATAAGCCGAGGAGCGTTGCGCAATGACCAGGGAGTGCCTAAACGTTTATTACACTCAAGTGACGACCATAAGACACCTCTGGTCTAGTGCTCCTCCTAAGCGCGGCGTCAGAACTAATGAGCCGCTCAATGCCGCGCTTCAGGTTCTAGGCCGTGATTCAGACCGCACTAGCTTCTCGATGGTAAAGCGTCAAGCAAGGATCGCATGCCAAGTGCCTGAGAGCATAACAGGCAGATGCTTGGGAATGAGCATTGGGATTGACGAATTCGCGTGGGAAGCATTGACAGCTGCAAATTGGAGGCACTAGGTCGTATCCCAAAATGCCGAGCCACATGTGTTACATTTTCAATGGTACATATGTGTCGTAAAAGGTTCGACATAATTTCAAGCTGACACAAGAAGTACACACCAAAAACTATTCTCTGCCCTCAGATCGCGTAGCTGGCATCCATCCCCTGTATCTCTCGGACCTTATAACGATGTTGAAAGCAGGCCCTGGATGATTCGCACAGTACACATGAATTCCTTCTCAAGCCTAGTTGTTTTTCGAGCGGGTACTCCAAAATCGAGGTAGTCGAAATCGGCCAATACAGGGTAGTCTGGTTACCTAATTGGCATTTTCAGTCTAAATCGGGTGACCATTGTTGTTTCTTTTGCGTTCCTCGGGCAACAGTGTGGGGCCTCAGAACGTCCCGTCTGCGCTTGGAGGTCTCAGTATCAGATGTGGTAACTGTTGGAGATCAGTGGGCCTTGAGCCGTTGCCCGTGTGTTCAAACCAATGGGCCTGTAGATGGACACATGGCGTCTAATGAATGGGCGATTCACGGGACTTAAGGTGTATGACTTTCTCAATGATTCCTGCGAACAAACTCGGAAGATATTTTCGAGGGGAAGTATTGCGCTGTTGTGCACAGCGGTAATAGCTTAAGCCTTTATGGAGGAGAAATAAATATATGCCAGCAACAACAATGGATGAGTTTTACTTAAGTTGCGTTGCTGCTCTGCAAGCTGCAACTCTTTGCCTACAGCCGTTTGGTTTGACGTGCAAGAGGCTTTTGGGAATGAATTTTTCTCCAATACCAATTATCACATGGCATCGTACAAGAACAAACCCACAAAAGGGAACAAAAAGATCATTATTAGAGAGGAAAAATATTGCATAGCAAGCGGTTGAAGTGCGTGAAACATGGGACAACTGCTTACCTTGTACCTGTTTCGATAAATCAGCAAGGCTAGTAGTGCCAAAACACATGTGCCGTAGATGGTTGTTGCAAGGAAACTGATTCGGCAGCAAACTGCAGACACAAATGATTTGCATTGCCAGGTGATAAATGCGAGAGTGAATGCCGAGAGCTACAGATAGGGAAAAACACATAAGCAACAGAGGCAATGGAACCGGACCGGACCGGACAGAAGTAAGGGGCATTGGGCCCAGCCCACATGTGAGCCTTACCATCAGAGCGCCTGTTTAAGAATGAATGTAAAGCAAGTTGGATTCTCTTTATCTCCTCAGCAGCAGCGTAATCAACCCCTTGTTCCGAATCTCCCATCCACTTCCCTTCTCCTCCCCACCCGTGCTCTCCCCACCTCCCCTTCTGCCTCCTCCTGCCAGGATCACCTTTCCCACCATCGCCTAGACTCACACTCCCCCCCAGCAGTGGCGGCAGCAGCACCCCCTCCACCGTGTACACCACCAGGCGCCGCGTGACTACAGTGGCGCCCACCGTTACTGTCACAACAGGTGCAGTTTTACTCGGTATATTCACGCTGGATACAGTCCCATTCGATACAGGCACGCTCGATACAGTGAATCTGAGCCCACTGGACTCGAGACTGAGAAGAGCACCTTGCAGTGATCTGTGCTTGCCGTGCCATCCTAGGAGGGAGATGCGAGAAGGAACCAGATGGCACAGGGCAATCTCCCGCAGAATCTCTGCTCTCTCTGCCAATTCCTGCTGCCCCAAGGAACCCAGCTGTCGAGCCGAACCCTGCCTTTGACCGGACCCAAAAGCAATCGCCCCTCTTCCTGTCAAATCCTGCTGCTGGTCTGATTCCTGCCGTCCAATCAGCTGCCCTTGTTGTACAGCCCTTGTTTCTAATGAGAATACCGAACCCTTTTGGCGAGTCCTGGAGAACACCGAATCCTCCACTCTCCGGAGCACCAAGGGGAGCACAGCTGCTAGGGCAGGGTCCGAGGGCGCAAGCACCGTGGCGTTTTTTCGTCTCAATCTCCGGTGGATATCAGGCAGCACACCTGCGGCGCTAAGCAGCAGCTTGAAGCCTGCTGGCGCTGCCTCGCCCAGCTCTAGTAGCACGTCTCCTCCTAGAGGCATTTTCCGCTTGTTTCGAGGAGGCTTATAAGGGGATTCATCCAGATCCAGCCGCACGTCTCCTGGAGGCAGTTTCCGCTTGGCTGTGGGAGTTAGATCCGAGAGATCGTGATTGCCGCTTCCCTTATTCTCCTCCGCATTTCCCCCACTCTCTAGCGCGCTTCTCCTGCTCTCCTCCGCCATTCCCCCCCTCATCTCCGCCATACCCCCGCTCAATCCTGTCATTCCCTCGCTCATCTCCGCCACCCCCCCACTCCTTTCCGCCATGCCCCGGCTATCTTCCGCTAGTTGCTCTCCCCCGGGCTGCTCTCCGCGCGGCGACTGCAGGCTCGCAAGAAGAAGCAGCATAAGAGCTAAACAGCGAATAGCTGCAACGCGAGAGGCAGTCATCTGTTACGCGGACATAAAATATGATTTGGTAGAATAATATGATCTACCTCACAGAGAGGCAGCGCAATAGTCGCCAGGATTACATTACTAGGCCCTACTATCATCCCCCACATTGGAGTTTCCTAAGACGATTCTTATGCGGTACATTGCTCGACTGCTGTCTACCACCAGTGGCGCTAAGGAAGGGAGAGCTGTGGGATTCAATTTTGGCGCGATATAACAAAGAATGCAGTGCTTGGTTAGGCCTAGATGTAAGTTCTATCGGTATATGTAAAGCTTCATCATAAGCTATCAACTTATCATTTAACTTTGTTTCAAGATTCGAATTCCGAGCCTATTAATGGCTCTTGCGTAGCACGAGAAGCATACGGTAACTTTGGCTGTTGCCACTGGGCCTTCCGCCACTGGAGATGAGTCCGTTGGGTCTTTTGTATTTCATGGGCAACCTGCTCAACCACAGTAACAACAACCACAGCAGTGTGTGTGGGTTGAGTGGGCTTGCCACTACCAAGCCTAGGGGGTGTGTTCAAATTATATTTTATATAATTGTAGGCTTGATAGTTATGCTACTGCATCCTACTGTAGAGGGGATTGTTAAAATTTATAATTTATAGGCTTGGTATACTATTACTGAATACTGTTGTAGAGGGTACAACACCCCTTCTTGTATGCCTCTGTCTTCTATTCAAACCACCTTTCTTCTCGACATCTCTCCTCACTAGTCACGTTCCTAGATCTACTTTCCTCCCACCATTCGATGGTGTCATTCCTAGCTAAGCTAGTGTCCTAACTTTAGGAACCTAGACTCATAAGTTTTTGAGATGGTATCAGAGTGGTCCGCTCCTAGCGGGCCTGCTCCTCACGATTCCGCCGCGCTTTCCTCTCCTTTTCCTCACGCTGCCATGGCGGCCGCGGCGGCGTCACGCTGTGGCGGCGTCGTCTTGTCGCCGGCTGCGCCGTCCTGCCGCGGCCGTCTCGACACGCAACCGTGGCGTCGCGCTGACGTCGTCCCGGTCGTGTCGTACCGCCGCGACCGTCTCGTCGTGCTGCTGTGGCGACATGCGGCCAGCGCTCGGCCTTAGCACTGGCCAGCACACACGCACTTTGTCGCGCCACACCTGTGCTGCTGCAGCCCTGCCCTCGTCCCCTGCCTCCCCTCTTACTCGCCGCAGCCGATGGCTGCCTTGCACCGGCCGTCCCACCGTTGCGGAACCTGGCCACGCCGCCGAGTGGGGCGAGCGCCGCCGGCGCCGCTGCTTTTGTCGAGGCCCCCGCCGCCGCCGCTGTTGCCGCTGGCCTACTTGCCGCCGCACGCCGTCGCCGCCGCTGCTGTCGTCACTGCTGCCGCCGCCGTCGTCGCCACCGCACCCTCGTAGCTGTTGTCGCCGCCCCGCCCGTGGAGAGGTCTACCGGGTTGTCAACAGCCGCCGCTGCTGCAGGGTAGTGGGGTGCTAGGTTAGGGGGTGTGTGTGTGTGGTGTGGGTGTGTGTGGGCTTGACACTACCAAGCCTAGGGGGTGTGTTAAAATTATTTAAGTTATAATTTATAGGCTTGGTATACTATTACTGAATACTACTGTAGAGGGTACAACACCCCTTCTTGTATGCCTCTGTCTTCTTTTCAAACCACCTTTCTTCTCGATATCTCTCCTCACTACTCACCTTCCTAGATCTACTTTCCTCCCACCATTCCATGGCGTCATTCCTAGCTAAGCTAGTGTCCTAGCTTTAGGAACCTAGACTCCTAAGTTTCTGAGAGGGATAACTCCCCCTTCTTGTACCTGATTCTATTCTAGTTCAAACTCTTCTCTCTCGACATTCTCGTCTACCTCTAGCTAAACCTCGCCGCCATTGTTATGGCATCCTAGCTAGCCTACCTTCACGACATGGTATCAGAGCAGGCCGCCCGTCCCGGGCCTGCTCATTACGCCTCCGCTGCGTACTTCCCTGTTTGCCGTCGTCGCGACCTTCCTACTGCCTGCCGTCGTGGCATCTTTTCCAAGATGCCGCGGCGGCCTTTGTGTGGTGTCGTCCCAGCATCGACGAGCAGCCGCGGCATCGGCGCCACGCTGTGGTGGCGTCGCCGTGGTGCCGCGGGTGTGTCGTTGGCCTGGTGCCGTCGCGCATCACCTGGTGCGGCCGTCGCAGCACGCAGCCGTGGCGACGCCGTCAACGTCAGGCCGTGGCGGCGTGACGGCGCTGTCGTGCTGACGTCGCGGCGTCGACGTCCCACTGCAGCGTCGACGCCGCTCTTGGACGGCACCGTCGGGCTGCAGCCGACCGTGCGACGCCGGTGACGCTGCCGCCGCCCACACGCCGCCATTCGCCCCTCCTCCCCGCCCCACCCCTTCTCCTTGCATCTCCTCTTCCTCCTGCCGCAGCTGCTGTCTTCGGCTCAGTCGCCGCCAGCCGTGCCACACTGCCGAGAGCCCTCAGCCGCCGCAGTCGCCGCCTGTCCTCCTCGACGCAGCCGCCTTAAGCACGAGCTCCGCCGCTGTCGTCATTGAGGCCGCCCAGATGGGGCCAGCTGCCTCTCGTCCGGGGGTATCATCGCCTAGCACGAGGGGTCGATACCCGACTGCTCATGAGAATGAGGGTGTCCGGGGTTAGGGGGTGTGTGTGTGGGTTGAGTGGGCTTGCCACTACCAAGCCTAGGGGGTGTGTTCAAATTATGTTTTATATAATTGTAGGCTTGATAGTTGTGCTCCTGCATCCTACTGTAGAGGGGATAACTCCCCCTTCTTGTACCTGATTCTCTTCTAGTTCAAACTCTTCTCTCTCGACATTCTCGTCTACCTCCTAGCTAAACCTCGCCGCCATAGTCATGGCGTCCTAGCTAGCCTATCTTCACGACAAGCAGCAACAACATCAAATGGCAGAAGAAATACCGTTCGCTGCAGAAGCTGTCGTAAATCAAGCGGATTTTCTAACTATCTCCAAGCTGAAAACCTCAACTTACTTTGATGGCCGCGACTTCTATACTTGGGGATTCGAGTTCGAACTCCTCCCGCAATCTTCTGATATCTGGGGATATTTCGACAGTGCAATCCGTTATCCAGAGACAAGAACGACCGAAGAACAGGCCTGTTATTACAAGTATTTGCTTATGACCTATACACTACTGGTGCGGAATCCAGGGCCAAAAATTGGTTTTAGGCCACTCTTTGAGATCAGAGTTGGAAAAAAAAAAAAAAAAAAAAAAAAAAAAAAACCTTGACGGTCAGAGCTAAAAAAATTCGAAGTCTGATTTGGTAGGGTAAAAAAATTAGAAGTCTTTGCTTGAAGTGTAGAACTCTTTGCACCCTTTCTAGCCTTGGCCATTTAAGGAACATTTTATATGAATGAAGTGGGCAGCATTGAGGTGTGGAAAGAAGTGTATTCTGTAGCGGATTTGCGCGTGCTAGGGGAGATTGGGGGATGGGACGGAAAACGATTATGGGGCGCGAGAGGGGAATCAGATTTACATGGGCGGCAGAGGGGCGGGAAAAAAACCACCTGCTCGTGATTGGTTGGGTGCCAGAAGGGCGTATACGACGTGACGTGACTTGCTGTGGTGTGGAGGACTTAGCGAAAAAAAAAAAAAAGTAGTGGGGGTGTGGGTGGGAGGCATGTCTCTTGTGGGGGACTTAGCCATTTCTGGGTTGCGATGGGGTGAGGGAGTTATGACTCTGGCTACGACTTAGCCGAAATTGCTGGTTTGCATGGTGCGTGGGGTGGGAGGAATGACTCTGGCCGCCAGGGACTTAGTCAAAAATTATGGGTTCAAAGGTGTTGTGGGGGAAATGTTTCTGGCCGCCAAGGACTTAGTCGGAATCTCGGAGTTTCGATACCAGGGTAGTTTTCAGGACACCCTGAAGGGTCAGGGTTCGGGGCCCCGCAACCCTGTTTTCGTCAGGGTAATATTTTCGTAACACTTTTTGGATCAGGGTAATAAATTTTGTAAGTCTGATTTTTAAGACCAAATGAAAAAATGCCTTGAAAAGTCAGGGCATTCAGGGCATTTCAGCCGGCTAATTTGGGCCCTGGCGGAATCTCTCACCTAAAGAGCAGTTGGGAGTTCGGTGCTGCAAACCTTCACTTCGCCTGGGATTATCTGCGAAGGTTGTATCAAGCACAATATTCTTTTTCACACAGCAAGCTGATAAGTCAGCTTACAGCAATGCAAATGCTTTCGGGAGAAAAATCCGGCAGCTACATCAACAGGTGTAGAACCCTTCGGGATCAGCCCAGCAAGTGCGGAGGAAATCTCAATTACCAGCTCTTAGTCAATATCCTTAAGGCTGGACTTGGACCTGAATGGAGGTGCAAGTCCCTTCTTCGTTCCCAAGGGAACATATTAGAAACTTCTATTCGCGCTACTTCGATGACAAAGCAGCACGACTTAGACATGTACAACGCAAAAGCTGAAGGACCAGCCAGCCTACCTCCACGTGTTCATCCTCGTTCAGAAACTCCACAACCCGCAGTCGTTAATGAAGAAGAACCAGAGCAGCCGAACGGGTTTTCTCGATGGTTGAACGTGCAGCCGTATGCCCACATCGCCAAGCGTACGTATCCCGAGCATGTTAACACTTGGTTTCTTGACAGCTGCTGCGGTCACGACATGGCGTCTTCAAGTCGCTATCTCCTCAACTGACGAGACCTGCCAAACGGAGAAAAATACATCATAGTGGCAAACAATCAAGTTATTGAAGCCACCAGAATTGGAGATGTGATACTAGAGTCCGTCGACACCGAAGTTTCATTTTACCTTAACAAGGTTTTCGTCGCCACGGGGCTCAGCTTCAACCTACTATCACAAGCGCAGCTGATGGAAAGCGACATCTGTTTCGTAAGCACCGTGAACACGATGCTCACGGAGTTGTACCTCGGCGACAAGAAGGAAGACAAAAGCAATTTAATCGGCATCGAAGACCTTAAAGACGACGTTTATGTTTTACGATTCTCACCTGTGAAGGCATCTGGTGACAGTGGGAAGAATATCTCAGTTGCTCCTTGGGATCATCACTAAGAAATGGATCTCCAATGCCATGACCATCGTGGTCTCAATGTCTTCAGCGTCACTCCTTAGCCTTCAAGCACCAACTCCCTTGACGAACCTGCAGCAGAGCTAACATAAGCATCATCAGCAACAGAAACAGTTCAAAGTACATGGGCATCTGGAGATGAAAATTGGGGTTACGACAATGAAGAACCGACATCTGCTACAGTCGAAGGACCTATGAAGGTTGAACGCATATGGGGCAAGAAAGAGTTAATCGTACCTGATGCTTGGGCGGGTCGCCGACATCTCGGCATACCTTGGGTTGAAACTGCAGAAGAAGCCGGCTTCATCCAGCCTTTCGGCACCGGCCGCTGCGTCAACTCTGCGCCAACGATTCATCTTTCGTCGGCTTTCTTCCTTCACTCAGACTTGTACCTGCGTTCAACGGGGCACATGACTACACCACAAATCTGGCACATGCGGTTAGGTCATCCCTCTCAAGAAGCTCCCAACAACTCGATTAAAGCCTCGGTTTTCGACAAGGACTCTCTCCTTTTAACCAACGGCCAAGAGCTTCGACCTAGCAGCCGTCAACTACCCTGCACCATCTGCCCCGGAGCTCACCTAAGTCACGCTCCATTCCCGTCACACTTTCCGAGGGTTACCAAGTACTCACATATGGACATCGTCTTCAGCGACATACTCTTCATACCGCAAGAAGCAGACGATATCAGCGGCAACGACTACCGCTATATCATTACCTTCATTGACGGTGCTACTTGATATGTCTAGCACAAGAACATCTCTCACAAGTGTGAAGCTCTTGACGCCTTGAAGCTATGGCTGAAAATCGCGGAGCGGCAGAGTGGCATCAAGCTGAAGGAGATACAGACAGACAACGCGAGTACACTGGCGAGCAGTTCGATGCATTCCTGGCGCGGAAAGGGATACCCAAGTGCAAGACTGTGCCTTACGCCCATCAGCAGAATGGAATAGCTGAGAGAACTAGCAGAACGCTGTAAGAGAATATGTGCATGCTGATGCAACAGTCCAGCTTGACAGCAGACTTCTGGCCATTTGCGATGGCGCAAGCTGTCCGCCGACAGAACTGCTTGTCTTCAACAATTCTCCATGATTCAGCTCGCCACACGTCATGTGGACAAAACACCCTACCGACACTCGACTATGACGAGTTTGGGGCTTCATGGTCCAATACACACCTCCGAGCGCAATTGTGGGCAGATTTACTGAACGGGGTCGATGGGGAATACATCTTGGTGTACCTAAGGATTCTTACTCCTAGATAATTATGGATTACAAAAATCGAAAGCTTTTGTATGCCCGAGACTGCATCTTCTACGAGAAACTTTTTCTCGATGACTTCGAATGCGACAAGGAATGCCAGCAGCGGGATCCTGATCGCGACAGTGCCGAACGGAGTTTCGCCACTCCTCAAGACGAAGCAGATGCAGCCGAAGAAAATTATCCGCCCAACAGCACAGTAGCAGGACCTTCTACAGTTCCACAGCCGTCCTCATCGGCAGCCGAACCTGTTCCCTCGTCACGAGAACAACCATTATTCGAATCCTACATCCCTTCGACATGTGCCAACAATACAGAAACCCTGCTCTTTATTTCCCTCTCAGTCGCGTTGCGTCCTTCCACAACACAAGCTGCCTATAATTATGAGGAGCACCTGCGCTGACAGAAAACTGACCCAGCATCACATGACGGTGCCCACCATCTGCCATCCGAAATCGACGATGATGATGTCGTCGAAATTTGCAAACCTCATCCTCGTAGTGATCTATCGGCTCTTCAGATTCTCAGACTTGCTGTCGTAGTTCAATAACCAACGATCGGGATCAAGCCGAAGACAGTCGAGAAGCAGAAAACGTGGAAACTCGTTCCACGTGAAACAGCACGCGGCAAGAAAATTCTTTCGGGCAAGTGGGTCTTCGACATAAAGTCAAATGCTGCAGGCGAACCAGAGAAATTCAAGGGGAGATGGGTCGTTCGAGGTTTCAAACAAACCCACGGCATCGATTACAACTAGACTTTCGCTCCGGTCAGTCGTCATACCTCAGTTCGAATTCTTCTCGCCATTGCTGCCAACCGCCACCTTCTACTTCGCCAACCGGACGTTAAAAATGTGTTTTATACGCAGACGTCGATGCAGATATTTTTGTCGAACTCCCTCCCACTTACGATGACATACTCCACATATGCAAATTACTTTACTTAAGTTACTCTACGGCATCAAACAGGCTCATCGCCTGTGACAGCAACATCTTCACAAAGTCATGATTTCACTCGACTTCGTCGCAGCTGTCCTGCGATCCTGTAATGTACAGACTCAATTTTCGAGGGCATTACATCCATCTAGTCGCCTACATGGACGTCGTACTGTACACCAGCTCGTGCAACGGTCTTCTGGCGCGCATGGAGAATAGAATCCAAACGATTATTGAAGTGACAATTTCCTCCAACGTCACCCAATTTCTTGGGTTAAACGCCGACTGCGGCCCCGATGCCATCTACATTTATGTACGCAAGTACGCAAAAACACTTGTGAAAAATGTTCACAACCGCTCCTATCAGCCTCACCACTCCATTTCGTCACATTTCGACCGATCGCATAGCTGATACTACCCCACTTAACGCCTCTCAGCATCAGCTTTACCAACAGCAGCTCGGGTGTCTTCTATTTGCAGCTGTTACATGCCGCCCAAATCTTGCCTACATCACGAATCGGCTCGCACAGTACCTGCGCCAACCTGAAGGGCAGAATATGCCGATCTTCGTCGAGCCCTCCAATATTTCATTTCTACTCCTACAATCGGTCTCAGCTATACGACAAATACTTTAGCAAATTTTCGACTGACTGGATACGTTGATGCGGATCACGCTGCTGACCCCAACAGCAAGCGTTCACGTACATGGTTCATTTTGAAACTTGAACCAGGTGGTGTCATTTCTTGGAACTCAACGAAATAGGAGGTCATCACATTTTCTTCAGCCGAAACAAAATTCGTCGAAAGAAGCTCTGCAGTTCGCGAAGGACATCTTTGAGAGTTACTTCAAGAGGCAAAAATCGTAACGACACGTAACTTCAAGTTACTCTGTGACAACCAGAGCACTATCCGGATCGCAAACAAGCCTGGCTTCGTCAACGAGACAAAACGCATCGCCCTGCGTTTCTTTTTCGCCAAGCACCAAATGGACAAAGAGAATGTCATCCTGAAACACTGCCGTACATAAGAAATGGCAACTGATTTCCTCACGAAGAAACTCCCACACGACAAGTTTCAGTACTGCTCCAACCTGGTTGGAATGTGCAAACGCGACGATACTTCCCAGGGACACACTCAGGAATGAAGGGGAGTGTTGAAGTATACTCGACAGAGTTTACTTATGCATTCCTGATATAACACTTAGAATAGTAGCGCGATACCTCATATGGAAGGACGCGCTTGATGACGTCAGCGGTAGCGAGTCAACGCATGAACAAGAGGTTCGCGCGTATAGTCACCCAAAGGGTTACGCCAATCCCAGTCACACGAACAGTCACTAGTCATATCACGCGAATAGTCGCGATACAATACGAGCAGGTACATCCGAATAGGTACTACCTAGACAATAAATATGCTTGTATTACTCATTATTATTATCCTTGTCATTTCTGACATTTCTAATACAAGGTATAAAGTCATCCACTGACTTTTATTCGTGGTTAAACAAACTCTAGATCCTGGCCACCCTAAAGACGTGATTCATTTCAAAAAAAAGTTAGCGGAAGACTTTATACTCTGTACTGGAAATATATGAAATGACAAGGATAATAATAATGATTAATACAGACATATTTATAGTCTAGGAAGTACCTATTCGGGATGTACTTCTTCGTAGTGTATCGCGACTATTCGCGTGACATGACTAGTGGCTGTTCGTGTGACTGAGGGTGGAGTAACCCTTCGGTTGATTATACACCTGTTCTCCTATTTAATTGCACAGTTTTTGTACGCGGCTTAAGTTTTTAAGCAGGAAATTTTAAAACACGCGCAAATGGGACTTTGAATGAGAAATCCCACATTAAGAAATGACACAAATCACTAGAGAATCATGGTTATCGTGTGTCGATTATAGATTCCTGCAGCCATATAATATGTAAAGATGTGGTTCATTTCAACGGTGTATTTGATCTAGGTCGGCGTTTGATATAATCAATACATTGACAACCGTTGTAGATATCATTGTGTGTTTTTATTATAGCTAGCCACGTATTGGAACTATCACAAATAGTTCGTGCTCTCTTCCTCGTTCCTCCCTTGCGCTGATGCTACAGTCACAATTTCCATAGATTCACAGGAGTATGTCACTCGTCATGGTTGCTCTGGCATTACAGGGTCAGTCCTCATTCTGACGATCATCTCATTCCGACTTTCTCATTCCGGGTTCTTGGCTTCTTGGTTTGTTCGAAGGCGATGGCGTGGTGGTAGGCCGCGCTCCCCAGGCACTTTTGCTGGGAATCTGAGGTGTAGCTTTTATCCCACATGGATGTGTGCTGTCGTGAATCTTGCGGCAATCTCAAGGCTCGCCGTGGTCCGTCGATCAGGCAATTGCGGGTTGAATCCGTGCTCTCACGATTTCCCCTGAAAAGTTCTTCATTATTACGTACGAGTTACAGCACTTGCTAAATCTAATAAACGGCTGAGATGTTCTCGCACCGCATACGAGTCAGCCAGCTTAGTCTCCGCTGAGTCTCTACGGATTCAGTAACACACTGTTTTCTTCTCCCAGTTCCCGGGACCGGGAAACAACAACTGGGATTCGCAGTTAGAGATCACCAGTTCCCTCTGATAAGATTTTGCAGTCAACTATTTCTACACCACTCTGATCAGGCTCTGGCCAGTGTATCACAACCGACTGCGTTCGATCTCCAACCTCTCAACCGCATTCAGCCGCACCGAACCGCGGCGATGCATCGGTCGACGAGTGCGGGAGCCATGTCCACTGTGGCGACTGGCGGTGGGGTCGCGGCAAGACCCCGCAAGGAGCGGAAAGTGACGTTCGTGGTGCGAGACTCGGACGACACCACTGTGAGTGAAGATCCCCATGAGAGAAGTTCGAAGTTAGCACTCATGAGTGTGCGTCTGCCGTGCTCAGCGGTGGGGCCGCAGCGAGACCCAGGAAGGAGGGGAGGGTGACGTTCGTGGTGCGAGACTCGGACGACACCACTGTGAGTGATTGTGCGGGGCACTGCGACACCCCGCAAGGAGCGCGGAAGGTGACGTTTGTGGTGCGAGACTCGGGACGACACAACTGCTAGTTTAACCAGCGTGAGCCCTAACTCATATTTCATCACGGCCGCCTCCTCTCCCTTACGAGTTGAATAGGTTTTTGAGAAATTTCGAAAGCCAATTTAACCAGCGTGAGCCGTGAAGTCATATTGTATCACGACCGCTTCCTCTCCCCTACCCAACCATTCGTTCCCTTCCTTCATCTGACCTTCCTTGTGGGCTGGCTGCACCTGCAACCTTTCTACTTCCTCTGACTCTCCCAGCCAGCACTGTGTGTGTGTGAGCAATTTTCGAGGCGCCTCAAAGATAAACTCCTCTGATTCTCCCAGCGCTGTGTGTGTGAGCAGGTGGCGTGAGCAGGTGTGTGCCTCGCCGCGCCGTCGTTCCCTCTGGACCCCTCCCCGGTTCCCCATTCTCCCTTTTTCACCTGCGTGTTTCGACATCCCTTTACCCCTCCCTTCATTCCTCCCCCTCTCCCCCCCTTCCCTCTCCCCCCCTTCCCTCTCCCCCCCTTCCCTCTCCCCCCCTTCCCTCTCCCCCCCTTCCCTCTCCCCCCCTTCCCTCTCCCCCCTTCCCTCTCCCCCCCTTCCCTCTCCCCTCCTTTTATCCGCGCAGCGCTGTGCCAGTGTGAACAGTGTCTGCCTGGCCCCTCCGTCGTTCCCTTTTCGCCTCAATCCCCCCCCCCCTTGCCCGGCCTTCATCCCACGTGTACCTGCTCCCCCCTTACCTCCCCCCACCTCTTATCTCGCAGCACTGTGCCGGTGTAAACAGTGTCTGCCTGGCCCCTCCTGCCACGTCAGCATGGTACCTTCACCAGCAGGGACCTGGATCTTCCTATCCCCAGTCTCACTCGCTTTCACAAGGCCACAGTAGAAGCAGCAATGGCGATTTTAACGAGGATGCTTATATCGAGGATGTAGTGTTCACTGGGAGCCGGGACGGAACCATAAAGCGGTGGAGGGTTCCGGTAGGCTCGGTAGGGCCCAGAGCAGCAGAAGAGGATCGGTATGGGAGGGGGAATGGAGGTGCAGTAACCCCAAGAGGAGTGTATGAGGCGACTTTCGAGTCACACACGGACTGGGTAGGTGCTATAGCTGCACGTGTGTGTTGTACGTGTTGGGGCAAATGAGGGGTATATGTGTGGTGCATGTATGCTATGGGAGGGGGAACGGAGGTACATGCGGTAACCCCCCAAGAGGAGTGTATGAGGCGACTTTCGAGTCACACACGGACTGGATAAGCCAGTTTATTTGGCTGTGTTATTCTCCACTTATCTTTCGATTATCAAGCAATCATGCTCTCACATGGACTAGGCAAGCCACACTATCATGCTCTTTGGAACAGAGATAGCCACCTTGAGCTCTCCTTTTGTTTCAGCCCTCATTCCCCGCCATTGCTCCAGTCCTCGTTCCCCACCTTTGTTCCTGCCCTCGTTCCCCTCCTCCTTTGTTCTCTTACACACCCCCCTGCACCCTGCCATGCCAGGTGAACGACGTTGTGCTTGTGGGGGCGGACACCCTCGTCTCATGCTCCTCCGATGGCTCCATCAAGGTCAGTCAGTCCTGTAGAAACGGCTTTAGAGTTCTGTGTTTGGTTGGCTGTGCGCCACACGCACGCACCTGCACCTTCCCAGGTGAGGTGAACACCGTTGTGTCTGTGGGGGCGGACACCCTCGTCTCATGCTCCTCCGATGGCTCCATCAAGATCAGAACCTCTTGCTGCGTTGTTGACTGCATCAAGTTTAGCCGTTTCGGAATGGGTGACAAGGGGTTGCATTGCGTGCGTGGGTGGTTCTTTCAAGGAGCGCCTCTTTCTCCCTCCTGTTGTAGCGATACAGCCTGTCTCTGAATACTCATGTTCTAAGGTCTCAGTCGTACCGTAACCCCGTTATTACAGTGCTACCTTAAATCTCTATCACAATTGGATTTCCTTTCCCACCCTCACCCCCTCCCCTTCTCTCTCTTCCCTTCCTCCTGCTACCACCACCTCTGCTGCTCCCCCGCCTCCTCTCTTACTCAATCCTTGCCTTTCCCCTCTCAACCCACTCCCCCTTTCCTCCCTGTCTGTGGCTGTGACAGACCTGTGTGACATTGTAACGAGGTGACTTTTGAGTCGACTCAAAAGTCACTTTCCTCCCTGTCTGTGGCTGTGACAGGGCTGGAACTGGGAGGCCTTTTCACCAAGGGGCGAATGCACAGACACCCTGCAGGCTGCAGCAGCACAGCGACTACGTCTCTCCTGTGTTCCTCTTTCCCCGTTCCTCCCCCTTTCCTCCCCTCTATTGCCACGTGGCAGACTTGGAAGGCCTTTTCACCAAGGGGAGAATGCACGGATACCCTTCGGCATCACAGCGATTATGTCATTGCTCTCTCTGCCGCCCGTGATGTGAGTGAGGCCGCCCGTATTTGCCTCTCTCTGCTGAGCCATGCATGACCACAACACTGGGATGCGACACCACAGCGAAGGCATCAATGCCCTCCAACAATGCTCCTTGCTAAGTTTTGGTTCTATTTCGTTTTGGGACGACTCGAAACGAAATCACTAACAGCACTGCGATGATTTTTGAGGCGCCTAAAAGATCGACGCCACAGCACATGCATTGACTTCTTCCAGCCGTGTTCGTGTCTACGTTTTAGTTCCCCCCCTCCATTCGATCCCCACATCAACGCAACCTCATGGCTACGTAGCAACCTAGCAAGCATGTATCACCATCTTTACCTTCCCTCTGCCCAGTCCCTCAACCTGGGGTCCCTCTTATCTCGGATTCCTTTCCCTCGACCCCCTACCCCTTTTAAATCGACTCAAAACGATTAATTATCAAACGGGACCCATGCTGCCCTCCCCTCACGGGACCCATATATCTCGGATTCCTTTCCCTCGACCCCCTACCCCTTACACACACGGGTCCCTCTGGTCGCATCAGGCGGGCTCGGCTCAGAGCTCTTCATCTGGGACCTGGAAGCCGCTCAGGCAGTCGTGTGGTCAGGGGGCTGGTCACAGTGATCCCTGCTCCCCTCCCCTCTCCTGACTCATATATTCGATTTCGATTCCTCCTTCCCACCCACAGGTCCCTCTGGTTGCATCAGGCGGGCTTGGCTCAGAGCTCTTCATCTGGGACCTGGAAGCTGCTCAGGCAGTCGCGTGGTCAGGGGGGGCTCTCCCTCCCTCCTCCTCCTCCCCCTCCGCTCCCGCCTCTAGTAATTCTACTGCTAATGGCACCTCTGCTGCCGGGCCAAATGGTTCTGGAGTGGGCGGAGGTGGGGGAGGGGTAGGTGGAGGGGTGAACACAGGGGGAGCAGGAGGAGGAGGAGGAGCAGGGGGGGCAGGAGGAGCAGGAGGAGCCGCAGGTCCGGGAGTGGGAGTGGGGGTGTATGCGCCAGTAGCAGCGAAGGGGCACAAGGACTCGGTGTATTCTGTGGCGATGAACAGTGGCGGCAGCGTGGTGGTGTCGGGCGGCACAGAGAAGGTGGTGCGTGTGTGGGACCCACGGACTGGCACCAAGCAGATGAAGCTCAAGGGGCACACGGAGAACATACGGGCAGTAGCCGTTGATCCCACGGGCAGGTAAGGAGGAGGAGAGGAATGAGAGGAGAAGAGGAGAGAAGGAGAGAAGTGGGTGCGCGTGTGGACCCACGGACTGGCACCAGGCAGATGAAGCTCAATGGGGCATACTGAGAACATTAGGGCACTGGCTGTTGACCCTGCAGGCACGTAAGGAGGGGGAGGGAAGGGTGTGGGGCCAGTACAGTCTAAGGCACATAGCGGACGCACGGGTGTGGCAATGGTGATGAGGGAAGCATAAGGAGCTTGAGTAGTTTTGAGGCGCCTCAAAACTAAGGCACATAGCGGACGCACGGGTGGGGCAACGGTGATGAGGGAAGCATAAGGAGCTTGAGTAGTTTTGAGGCGCCTCAAAACTAAGGCACATAGCGGACGCACGGGTGGGGCAACGGTGATGAGGGAAGCATAAGGAGCTTGAGTAGTTTTGAGGCGCCTCAAAACTGGATAAGGAGCTTCAAAACCTTTTACCATAAGGAGCTTCAAAACCTTTTCCCATAAGGAGCTTCAAAACCTTTTCCCATAAGGAGCTTCAAAACCGTTTCCCATAAGGAGCTTCAAAATCTTTTCCCATAAGGAGCTTGAGGGAAACCTGGATGATAACTTTTAGGCGCTTGCTGTTGGCCCCGTGGGAAGATAGAAATGAAAAAACACATGCCTGGTCTACCTCTACCTGGCCATGGCCCCATGGTTTTTTTTCGGTTTTTTTTTTCGGCCTGGGCAGGTCGAGTTGCATGGTCGTGTAGACTCGTGGTCGAAAGGCTGTTGTTGGAGTGTAAGTAAGGTTGTTGAACGATTCTTTCATTCCCTTCTCGTCCTCCCTCCCATCCCTCCCCTCCCTCCCCTCCCTCCCCTCCCTCCCATCGCTCCCATCCCTTTCCTTTCTTTTCCGCATCCATTCCTTTCCCCCTTTCCTTCTTAAACCCACTTCTATCGCCAGGTTCTGCTTGTCGGGCTCTTCTGACTCAATCATTCGGTAAGTGTTGAGATAAGGGGGGTTATGCATGCAGGGTGTTGTTGAGAATCCTCAAAAACACCCTGCAAAGATAATGGGGGTTAAAGAAGGGTTGAAATATGCGGGGCCTGGGACATGAGACGTGGGACTCGTTTCGAGTACAAAGTTGGGGGCCTCTACAGGCCAACCCCCCCCCGACCACGAACTCGGGATTTGATCTGGTGGGCTTTTTGACCCTGGACCAAAAACTTGGGTTTTGATCTGGGAAGTTTTGAGACTCGTGCCTTTATATGCAAGACGTGTGAGATCGAAACATCCTGAAAGTCTTCCAGCAGGGCTTTTATTATCTTCTTTTGTTATTGATTTTTTTACGAATGGTTGTTTTTGCGCCTCCAAGCAGTCTCTTTTCCTATGCTCATGTTTCGTCCCCCTTGAGCATTCGATTGTACACCCCTTGTGCACCCCATACACCCCTTGTCCAGGTTGTGGGATCTAGGACAGCAGCGCTGCGTGCACTCCTATGCAGTTCACACAGACTCTGTGTGGGCTCTGGCAGCCAATGAGGAGTTTACACGTGTCTACAGTGGCGGCAGGGATGCATGTGTGAGTGTCATAGATGGGGATATGTGTGTCTGTTTGCCTGCATGGGTGTGCATGGGTGTGCATGGGTGTGCATGGGTGTGCATTGGTGTGCATTGGTGTGCATTGGTGTGCATTGGTGTGCATTGGTGTGCATGGGTGTGCATTGGTGTGCATTGGTGTGCATTGGTGTGCATTGGTGTGCATTGGTGTGCATTGGTGTGCATTGGTGTGCATTGGTGTGCATTGGTGTGCATTGGTGTGCATTGGTGTGCATGGGTGTGCATGGGTGTGCATGGGCGCCTAGGTTTGCACATTCTCTCATAAGCCTCAGAACACCTTCTTTTAGAGCCCCTAATATTTGTAAACATCTCTCTCTTCTCTCTCTCTCTTCTCTCTTTCTGTTCTCTTTCTGTTCTCTTTCTCTCTCTCTCTCTCTCTCTCTCTCTCTCTCTCTCTCTCTCTCTCTCTCTCTCTCTCTCTCTCTCTCTCTCTCTCTCTCTCTCTCTTCTCCTCCTTCACACCCTCACCTAAACCTCTCAGGTGTATGTCACCGACCTCACCACTCGGGAAAGCATCCTATTGGCCAAGGAGGATCGCGCCGTGCTCCACCTGGCGCTGCGGGCTGCCAGCTCAGCAGAGGGGAGAGCGAGAGGAGGGGAGGGGGGGGGCGGGGAGAGAGGTGGGGAGGGGTTGGGAGAAGGCAGAGGAGGAGCGTTTAGGAGAGGGTTGGATTGTGAGAGGATGTGGGTTGGCACCTCGGCGTCATCCATCAGGTGCTGGCCTGCTGACCCTGCAGCTGCAGCTGGGGGACTAGGAGGGGGGTGGGTGGGAGGCGAAGGGGAGGATACAGCATCTACGGAAGGGCGAGGGGTCGGCGCGGAAATGCGAGGAGCGGTGAAGGAAACAGCGCGTAGGCTCGCAAATGGAAGTGCGAAGACTACTGGCGGATATGATAGTCACGGGATGGCCAGTGGAGGTGAGGAGAAGCAGGAGAAGGAGAAGGAGGAGGGGACAGTGGTGCCACGCGAGGAGGTGGGAGGTGGAGAGGAGGAGGGGCCGGTATCACCGGATGGGCCTCTCTTCTGTGCCAGTCCTGACCTGTCCGCTAGTTCGTTCATCGCTAGCAGCCTTGGGATATCCCGCGCACGAGCAAGTGTTGAAGGTTCCCTCTCTCTGGTACGTACAGGCCTCTCTCTGCTCCCCTCTCTCTGGTACGTACAGGCCTCTCTATGACGCTTTTCCTCATGCACTCCTCCTGCTCCTGTCCTCTCTGCTAGTTCGTTCATCGCTAGCAGCCTTGGGATATCACACGCAAGTGCGAGCGTGGAAGGTTCTCCCGCTCTGGTGGGTAGAATGCTCTCTCTGTTGAGTGGTATGCCTATCTGTTAGTTTAGGAGTGGAATGGCTTCCAGGGCGGCCCTCTAGACCAGTTTTGAGGCGCCTCAAAACTATCCTCCAGACCTCAAAACTGTCCTCCAGACCAGAAGTCCTTCAGAAGTCCTCCTGGCCTGTCCGCCCGCTGGTTCGTTCATCGCTAGCTGACTTGGCGCATCCCCTGCATGAGCCAGCGTGGAAGGGCTTCGCGCACGGGTGCCGTGAATTGTATTCACTTTTGTTCGTCCCCTCACTTGTGTAGCTGACTTGGCGCATCCCCTTTTGCCTGCATGGGCCGTTCATTCATGTGCCCTTTTGCTTGCATGGGCCGTTCATTCATGTGCCCTTTTGCTTGCATGGGCCGTTCATTCATGTGCCCTTTTGCTTGCATGGGCCGTTCATTCATGTGCCCTTTTGCTTGCATGGGCCGTTCATTCATGTGCCCTTTTGCTTGCATGGGCCGTTCATTCATGTGCCCTTTTGCTTGCATGGGCCGTTCATTCATGTGCCCTTTTGCTTGCATGGGCCGTTCATTCATGTGCCCTTTTGCTTGCATGGGCCGTTCATTCATGTGCCCTTTTGCCTGCATGGGCCGTTCATTCATGTGCCCTTTTGCTTGCATGGGCCGTTCATTCATGTGCCCTTTTGCTTGCATGGGCCGTTCATTCATGTGCCCTTTTGCTTGCATGGGCCGTTCATTCATGTGCCCTTTTGCTTGCATGGGCCGTTCATTCATGTGCCCTTTTGCCTGCATGGGCCGTTCATTCATGTGCCCTTTTGCTTGCATGGGCCGTTCATTCATGTGCCCTTTTGCTTGCATGGGCCGTTCATTCATGTGCCCTTTTGCTTGCATGGGCCGTTCATTCATGTGCCCTTTTGCTTGCATGGGCCGTTCATTCATGTGCCCTTTTGCTTGCATGGGCCGTTCATTCATGTGCCCTTTTGCTTGCATGGGCCGTTCATTCATGTGCCCTTTTGCTTGCATGGGCCGTTCATTCATGTGCCCTTTTGCTTGCATGGGCCGTTCATTCATGTGCCCTTTTGCTTGCATGGGTCGTTCGTTCATTCATGTGCCCTTTTGCTTGCATGGGCCGTTCATTCATGTGCCCTTTTGCTTGCATGGGTCGTTCATTCATGTGCCCTTTTGCTTGCATGGGTCGTTCATTCATCCTTTCACAATCGCCGACCCTTCCCTTCCCTTTCCACGCCTCCCCATCTTCCCTGTCTCCCCAAAGCTCTCCCTGGTCTCCTCTCTGCCCTGTCTTCTTCTCCCCTGTCCCCTCTCTGCCGTTCTCCACGTCCCCATGTTCTCCACGTCCCCATGTTCTCCCGTCCTCTCGCCACCATCCCCGGCACCTCACCCATCACACGCCATGCCATTCTGAAGGACAGTATATTCCCCTGCCTTCCACTCCTGCCCATCTCCCCTGCCTTCCACTCCTGCCCATCTCCCCTGCCTTCCACTCCTGCCCATCTCCCCTGCCTTCCACTCCTGCCCATCTCCCCTGCCTTCCACTCCTGCCCATCTCCCCTGCCTTCCACTCCTGCCCATCTCCCCTGCCTTCCACTCCTGCCCATCTCCCCTGCCTTCCACTCCTGCCCATCTCCCCTGCCTTCCACTTAGGCTTGAGCAACGGGTCGGGTCGGGTCGGGTAACCCGACCCGAACCCGACTTTTTGACGGGTCGGGTCGACATTTGCGGAGGGTCGACCCGACCCTCGGGTACCCGACCCGACCCGACCCGACCCGACCTACAAAACCCGACCCGTCGGGTCGGCTTATTACCCGTCCCTGCCCCTATGCCAACCCGACCCGACCCGACCCGAAATCGGGTCAGGTAGTACCCGACCTATTAAACCCGGGTCGGGTTGACATTTCCTGAGCTCCGACCCGACTTGACCCGACCCGACCCGACCCGAACCCGACATCGGGTAGGGCAAAGTCGGGTCGGGTCGGGTCGGGCCGGGTTCATGCTCAAGCCTTCCACTCCTGCCCATCTCCCCTGCCTTCCACTCCTGCCCATCTCCCCTGCCTTCCACTCCTGCCCATCTCCCCTGTCTCCACGAACAAACCTTCTTCCCGGGTGCAGGTTGCTGTGTTCCCTTGTCCTCTCGCCACCATCCCCGGCACCTCACCCATCACGCGCCATGCCATTCTGAACGACCGAAGACACGTGCTGACCAGGGTGAGGCTCGTGTTAGTTTGTGTGTGTGTGCGTGTGTGTGTGCACGTGTGTGTGTGTGTATGTGTGTGCGTGTGTGTGTGCGTGTGTGTGTGTGTGCGTGTGTGTGCGCGTGTGTGTGTGTGTGTGTGTGTGTGCGTGTGCGTGCGTGTGTGTGTGTGTGTGTGGTGTGTGCTTACTAGGGTGGGTTTGTGTGTGTCTGTGATGTGCGCTTGTTGGACTGTGTGACTACTTGCTTTGGTTTTCTAACCATTGGTCTTCCCTAGGCTTCCATCCTCCTCTTCCTTTTTCTCTCATCCATATGCTCGCCCTCCCTCCCCCACAATGACCATCCTCGCCGCTCTTCTAGGACGAGGCGGGTGTGGTGAAGCTGTGGGAGATAACCAGGGGCGCTGTGGTTGCCGACTATGGTGTGGTGAGTGGTGCGCCGTGCTACAGTGCGTGATGCTATAATGCAAGATGATGTAGTGCTCTAATTTATGTACATACTGACGATGCGGGTGTGGTGAAGCTGTGGGAGATAACCAGGGGCGCTGTTGTTGCCAATTTTGGAGTGGCTACAGTGCTTGATGCTATAAAGCAAGTTGATATTGTGCTGATGTATGTACGTACCGACGAGGCGGGTGTGGTAATGCCATGGGAGATAACCAGGGGCGCTCTTGTTGCTGAGTATGGTGTGGTGAGCAGTGCATTGTGTTATGCATATGCTACAGTTCAAGATAATGGAGTGCATGTTGGTTATCACACTTCAAGCTGTTCCTTACTCCTGTTGCCATCACTGTCTTGTGTTTTTCTGATGCAGGTACCATTCGAGGAGAAGGAGAAGGAGCTCTTTGAAATGGTAAGTGCATTAGTTTTAACGCACGAGTATGCGTCCGAACGCACAAAACCGATCCCCTGTGATCACCCACTGACACGCTGCGTTCTTCTCAAATTTTCTTGCTTCACCATTACTTTGATATATGTACCTCGTACTCCTGCTTTTACCCCGGAGCCGATCACACTGACTCCCAATCCCACCTCCCGGCGAATGAGGTTCGGAACTAGGTGGAATGGGATTTCTGGCAAAAAGAGAGGGAGCATTCTTCCTCTAAATACTCAACTTTGTGTTGAGGCTTGCCACATCAGCCATGCGTGGACGGCAGAGGTGCTGGTTCTACTCAAGAAGGCGGGCACGAGGATACTGACGGCGGTTTACAGCAAGTTCTCCAAGAAGCAGTTTGCTAAGGCTGCCAAGCTACCCTTTGCCTCTCACTTGCCTAAGATCCACGCGCTTGATGGGCGGCGAGTGAAGGATGGCGGATAGCTTGACGACCTCCGCGAGCTGTGTGGTGGAGTGCTTGGTGTGAGCCGCTGTGGTTAAGTAGGTTGGTAGGTTGGTTTTGAGACGTCTCGAAACTGACCTCCGCGAGCTGTGTGGTGGAGTGCTTTGTGTGAGCCGCTGTGGTTAAGTAGGTTGGTAGGTTGGTTTTGAGACGTCTCGAAACTTACCTCCGCGAGCTGTGTGGTGGAGTGCTTGGTGTGAGCCGCTGTGGTTAAGTAGGTTGGTAGGTTGGTTGTGAGACGTCTCAAACCTGACCTCCGCGAGCTGCGTGTTGGAGTGCTTGGTGTGAGCAGCCATCAGTTTCCCTGTACCCGCCTTTTTGTGTTGCGCCACTAGCGCCTTCACACATGGCCGCAGCGAAGCCTCGGCCGCTTTGGCTGCCTGTTGGTTCACCTACAGTGCCCTCAGTGCCTCACGCGCACGTCTCTTTACGTCCCTCGTTTTCACTTGTCCTCCCTTTTTACACCTGCAGATCAGTGTGAGCCCGTGGTTCTCAGCGGACCTCCGCTTTGGCTGCCTGTCGGTTCACCTGGAGTGCCCCCAGAGCTTCTCTGCCGAAATCTACGCCATCGACCTTGATGTGCCAGGGGCTTCAGAGGACTTGAAGGTGAGAAGGGTGTCGCGTGTTTGCATCCATCCCATATTATGTGCAGGGCAGGTATGAAGGTGCCTGTAGTGCATCCAAGTACCTGCCTCAGTCCACCTGGAGTGCCCCCAGTGCTTCTCTGCTGAGATCTATGCCATTGACCTTGATGTGCCGAGCGCTTCAGAAGACTTGAAAGGTGAGAAAAGTGTTGTGTATGTGTGTGTCCATCCCATATTATGTGCAGTGCGGGTATGGAGGTGCCAGTAGTGCGTCCAAGCACCTGCCTCACTTCACCTGTAGTGCCCTCAATGCTTCTGTGCTGAGAGATCTGCGCTACTGGCCTTGATGTGTCGAGGTCTTGACAGGACCTCACTGGAGAGACAGTGCTATGCGTGCAGTGTATGGTACCAGTGAACACCACTTGGGTGCCATAGGTCTTTACGTGGCAGCAACTTTAGAAAACGCTGAAGTAAAACGAACGTAGAGCTGTGCTATGCGTGCAGTGTATGGTACCAGTGGGCGTGTGGCATAAATAGAGTGTGCAGGTACTTGCAGCACCTACCCCTCACTCCACCGGGGGTGCGCTCAGTGTTGCTTGCCCACTCTGCTGCCAAAAACGGGAGCACTGGTGCTCGTGGGCCTAGAAACCTGAGCACCTTGCTCGAGCACAACATGGGTGGGCATGAGAGACCATGCGAGTGCCCACTTGGAGTCACCCGCTGCTCACTGACTTTCACTTGGCAAAAGAGCGCAGCACAACATTTTGGGCTGTCGAAATGACGACTGGACGGTATGCCGAAGTATCCGTCTGGATCATTCTGGCAGTCTGACTGACATAACGCATGCTGGCTAAAGGCTTGCTCTTAGGAGAAGGAGTGCTTGGGAAGAGGCTGCTAGGCTCTATGACAGGTGAGCAGCCGCTCAAAGTCCAAGGGCAGGTGACATGGCTCACCTGTCATACAGCTTGGCAGCCTCCTCCCAAGTGCTCCTGGCCCCAAGAGTAAGCCTTTAGGCAGCATGCGTTATGCTGACCTGCCAGGCGGATCCACGCGGTATACTCCGACGTACCATCCAGTTGTCATTCTGACAGCCGCTGCAGACTGGAACGGCGGAAAAACGAGTGGGAGGGGAGGGAAGAAAGAGTTTTAATGTTCCATGCCACTGGTCTTTTTGCCCAGGGTTCAGTAGCGCGCCTTAAGTGTTCTCATTCCTTCCCTCAACTCCCTCAAGAACTCCTTCCCCTTGTTCAGCTGCATCTGCACTCGTTGACTTGTTTCCTTTCATTCTTCTCCTTATTGCCTCTTCTCATTCTCTCCTACTGCATCTTTATTCATTCATTCTCTCCCCTTCAAGGCAGTCCCTCAATTCTTGTCTGCCTCCCTTCTTACTTGCTCCCTTCCTTTCTTGCTCCCTTCGCTTCGTACTCGTCCTTCCCCTCAGTCGCACCTCGTTCCGGCTCTTAGAACTAAATCTAGGCCAACAGACACTCAGAGGCCTGCTCTGGCCCTGGTTTAACGAGAAGCGACACCCCCACACTCACCCTTCTTCCCTCACACTCACTCTTCCCGCCCCTCCCTCTTGTCGTTTCAGCTGAATCTAGGCCAACAGACGCTTAGAGGACTGCTCTGGCCCTGGCTCAATGAGAAGAGAAACCCCCAAACACAACCCTCCCACACTCACTCCTCCCTCACTCACTCCCCTCATCCCTCCTCCTCAACCACCTCCTCCTCTTCCAACGCCCATTCTTCTCTAAGGCGTTCCTCCTCTGCTGCAGCAGCCACAACAGCAGTCCCAGCACCAACCGCACCAGCAGCAGCTGCAGGAAGGGTAGCGGCGGCAGCAGGAGCGAATCAGCAAGCGACAAGTGGCACGGCAACACCATCATTATCAACAGCAGGAGGAGGAGGAGGAGGAGGAGGAGGAGCAGGAGCGGCAGAAACAGCAGCAGTGGGAGGAGGAATGGCAGCAGCAGGAGCAGGAGTGCCAGCAGCAGCAGTAGGAGCAGGAGCAGGAGGAGCAGCAGGAGGAGCAGCAGCAGGAGGGACAACAGAAGAGGAGCAAGAGGATGACCTTCTATCGGGCCTTCTTCCTTCCTTCGAATTCCCCCACCAGTTTCCCCCCTCTATAATCACGGAGGGGCCTCAGTTCGGCCCCTGGAGGCGGAGAGTCGTGACTCTGGCAGCAGACGGGGCGGGGTGGGAGGAAGCGCGGCTGCTGCTGCCGTGGTGGTGTGCTGACTGCGTGTGGAACGACCGAATGCCGCAGCGAGATCCCAGCAAGTAAGGCTGTGAAGGACCCAGACTAGTGAGTTGCAGGGGCACTGTTAGCACCAAGGCTCAGAGGAAACACAGCTGCTGCTGCCGTGGTGGTGTGCTGACTGCGTGTGGAATGACCGACTGCCACAACGAGACTCCAGCAAATATGACTTGATTGATGCGACTCCCACCGGTAGAAACCAGTTTTCCTTTCCACCAGTAAGTGTAGAAGCACGGTAGTTCGGGCACCAGTTCCCCCTCACGGAGGGGCCTCAGTTCGGCCCCTGGAATCGGAGAGTCGTGACTCTGACAGCGGACGGGGCGGGGTGGGAGGAAGCGCAGCTGCTGCTGCCATGGTGGTGTGCTGACTGCGTGTGGAATGACAGTCTCCCCCAGAGGGACCCCAGCAAGTACGTGGTAGAGGCACTGTAACTAGTAAAGCTGAGAGGGGTCAGAGAGGGTAGTTGCTTGCTGCTGCTGTGGTGGTGTGCTGACTGCGTGTGGAATGACAGTCTTCCCCAGAGGGACCCCAGCAAGTACGTGGTAGAGGCAGTGTAACTAGTAAAGCTGAGAGGGGTCAGAGAGGGTAGTTGCTTGCTGCTGCCGTGGTGGTGTGCTGACTGCGTGTGGAATGACAGTCTTCCCCAGAGGGACCCCAGCAAGTACGTGGTAGAGAGGGGTGGTGTGCGAATTGTGGTTGAGAGGCTTTGGCAGTTGAGACTATGGAGGGGGTTACCTGGTGGTATGCTGACTGGGTGGGGAAGAGCAGACTGCCCCAGAGGGATCCCAGCAAGTTAGTGGCAGAGATTCTACCCAGCAGGTGAGTGGCAGAGACTTTATTTTCTTCCTTTTTTTTACCTTCCTCATGTGATTTTGGAGTCGACTCGATTTTTTTCCCTTTTTTTTACCTTCCTCATGTGATTTTTGAGTCGACTAAAAAAAATCCTTTCCTTCCTGTTTTTTTATTTTATCTTTTTACCTCCCTCATGTGATTTTTTAGTCGACTTTTTTTCTTCTTCTTCTTTACCGTCCTCATCTCTGACCCCCTCCCTTCCCTCCCTCCCCTCCCTCCTCGCCCTCCCCTCTCCTGCATCCTCCTCCCAATCCCTTTCTCCCCTCAGGTGCAGCTTCTATCTGCAGCCATTGGACGGCTCGCAGCTGCGGCCGCTGACTCAGAACAAGCTGAGTGCGCCCAAGATACTGAGAATCCACAAGGTGGGGTGCAAGGGGGGCAGAGAGGTAAGGGGGGGGGGAGGGAATGGGGAAGGGGAAGGGGAAGGGGGGAAAGGGGGGTGGGGGGAGGGGAAATGGGGGGAAAGGGGGGGAGGGGGGTTGGGAAGAGAAATGCTACTTGTACGGTGTACCAGGCAATGAGTGATCTGTGGGTGAAGGTGGGCGTTGGATCACATGCTATAGCTCTAAATCTCATCGCCTCCTCCCCTTGCCCTTGCTGCTCGGGAATCCCGTCCACGTCATCAGCTATGCGCGGGAGAAGCTGGGATGGGTTGAGATGCGTCCTTCGGAAAACCTATGTCTACTCCCGGTATTTGCTTGGCCCCAGGTTATGAGCTATGCGTGGAAGAAATTGGGGCAGGTTGAGATGCCTCCTCTTAAAAGCCATGTCTATTCCCGGTATTTGCTTGGCCCCAGGTGATGAGCTATGTTCGCGAGAAGCTGGGACTGGACGATTTGCAAGAGGAGGAAGAGGAGAGCGGAGGGGGGGTGGGAGAAGGGGTGAAGGCGAGTGGACGGGGGGTAAAGGGGTCAGTGGGGCCTCCCACCCCTCCTGTGGTGGTCGAGATTTTCTGCAATAATGAGGTGAGCTTGCTAGCTAGCCAATGATTATGTTGAAGGCGAGACGAAAAAAAAATGTGTCGTGATATATCGGATATGTTGTATGCATTGTGCGTGTTTTCCATCTTCCCCCTGTGGCAGCTGCTGAAGCCAGACATGAGCTTGGCCACTGTCCGCACATACATTTGGAAGAAGTCGGAAGACCTTGCACTTTTCTATCGCCTGGCGAATTCGACCCTCTAGCGCTTGCTCACCTCTTTTTGTTTCTTATTCATGGCTCTGCCCAGTGTTTCCTTGATTCTGGCATGGTTGACAATGGGCGTGTCATCAATAATCTAGAAATAGCCATAACATTCCCAAGATTTTTTTCTCCATCTTGCCAGATTTGCCTTTAGTGGTGTAACTTTCGGCACCAAATGCTGCTTCTGACGAAACCCGCAAACGTGGACGCTTCTTGTGCTCTCGCTGCCACCCCACTGCGCGAGTGACACCTGGTGGAGAACTCTTCGACGTGGCATCGGATCTTGAGGAGGTCTAGTGGAACACGTGTCCCATGACGTGTCCTGTGCCCCAAGCTGATGTTTCCTTGGGCCCGCGCGGATATCCCTCCGCGCTGGGACTGGCGGAGAATGCTCACACATTGGCCTCCCGCGCAGACCCCCCCGCCAACCTTTCGCAAGCTTCCGCAGCAGCCTGCGCAGGGTCCTTGATGAATCAGGAAGTGCGCGAGCGCGATGTTCCCAATGTTCCCCGCGACCAACTTTGGAAGTAATTTCTAGGAGCTTAGGAGTCTAGTCCGGTACATTTTGGACTGCAAATCATATATCAGTTCTGGTCTACCCAGCTGGTGCCTGACGTTAGCAGTAGCTAAGGCCTCGAGTATCCCTGTCTGCAATCAGCCGCTTTGCCGCGCAGTCCCAGGCACCGGCTCCAGTCGACGGCCTGACACCCATTATGGCTTCCTCTCTCGCGGCATCGTCTCTTTCGTCCCGCATTTCCACCGGCCTAGCATCGACGCTCCCTAGACACCCCAGCACCAGCCGCAGCAAGTCGCGGCTCGTCGTGCGAGCGTCCAGCGACGACGAGGAATTCGAAGCCCGTTTGGAGCGGTTGAGGCGGAAAAACGCGAGCGGAACGGGGAAGAAGGCGGAAGAGCGGAAAGCCAAGGGCAGCGGAGATGCTGCTGCTCCTCCCCCTCCCTCTACGTCAGCCGCCTCCTCCACGTCAGCTGCGTCGACGTCAGCAGCGTCAGCAGCAACTAAAGCTGCAGAGCTATTGCCTCCGCTTCCGTTGAAGGACCCCGTATCTGGCGGATTACCAGTGACGCTCGGATTTTCGTCGTACACGGAGCGATTGAACGGACGGCTCGCAGCCATTGGATTGGCTGCTCTTGTCGCGGTGGAGCTCGCATCTGGATCGTCCATTCTGCAGTACCACGACGGGGCGACGGTTGCCGTGCAGGTGTATTTTCTCCTAGGGCTCGGCGCGCTTTATGTCAAGTACGAGAAGGACAAGTCGAGCGTTCTGCCGAAATAGGTCTGAATAACCAGTTTTGACATCGATTGTCGCCGTTTTTCCAAGAACAATGCGTTATTCATTTCGTTTAAGTAAATCACGAAACGGTTTTGTGGAGCAAACATAACCTGGAAAGCTCGACATAAAATAGGCGTTGGAAATTGCCCGCGACCTGAAACGTCTCCCTCCCTCCCCCCTCCTTCCCCTCCCCCCCTTCCCCCCCAACCCAACCCCCCCACCCCACCCCCACCCACTCGTCTTCCACTCCCTCTCTCGCGTATTATCACTCCTCTTCCTCCTCGCTTTCTATCTCTTCGTCTTTTCATTTCCCTCTTCCCTCCACCCCACAGCTTTCCCTGCTCCCGCTCCCCCCTCCCCCCCTCTTCCAGCTCTCTCCCTCCCCTCCTTATCTCTCCCTCTCCCTCCTCCCAAGTGACATCTCCCTCTCTCTCCACTCCCTCGCTCCCCTTGGCTCCTCTCTCTACGACGCCCCCCTTCACCCTCCCCCCCTCCCCCCTCCCCCCCCCCCCCTCTTAAGACAGCCCCTACCCGTTTTTTTCTGCACGTCCCCTTACTCTCCCTCAATCCCACTCGTCAGACAAGGTTGCAGTAATCTGTCACCTCCACTCCACTCCCCTCAGCACTCCTTTCTGGTCTGATTCCCCCCTGTCACCATGCCACTCTCAATTCTCCTCTCCATCGTCAGTCATGTTGCACCATAGCCAGCAGGAACCTTGCCCTCCTTTACTCTGAAGCATAGAACATCCCTGCAGAATGCGCATTGCACCAACTGCAAGCAGTGGAACATGTGCTACCAACTCTTATACCCATGTTCAAGCACCCCCCCGTGCCCCTATACTCTCATCTCCCTAGTCCTCACTTTGCCAAGTGGGCAATGAGTCAGGAAAGTTTTTCTTCCCACTGACCAGGTCTGGAAATTTGAGTTGTGGATTCCCTCCTGATAGGCTTCTCGCCGATCATAGAACACTTGGCCCGCTGCCCTCTGCATGAGGGACTTTTGGAGTTGGCTGTGCCATACGCTTAGGCTTCAATCCATGGGGTTGATAGAATTTTACGGAGAAACTGGACTGCTCTATCACATACTCTCGTCACAAACACAGTTCCAATCCAACAAAGTTGCCAGGGCCAAACTCTAGACTCCACATCCCCCTCATTAGAGGGACCTCACTTCCCCTCCACTAGCTCTGATTGATGGTCAAGCGTACCGCCTTTGTAGGAGTCTGAAATATGTCTAGTGACCAGAACAGTTCCAACAAATTACTCACACCAAACACCCCCTCCTTCCTTCACCAGCAAATCTCCGTGAATGCCCTCCAGTGTACATCCATCTACAAGTCACGGATATGCTTTTGTCGGAGGCTGAATTGTGTCTAGTGACCGGAACAGCTCCAACAGGTTGCCTGTGCCGAACCCTCCACAGCCTCCTCGAGGGAATTGCTGCATGGGAATTGCCTTGGGGCCCTTCTTCACCCCAACCCTTTGAAGAATCTCTATGAAGAGGGTGGGTCTGTGGGGGAGGGAAAAAAGGATGAAAGGAAAATCTCGGAAGTTCAACCCTGCTGCATGCGAATTGCCTTGGGGCCTTTCTTCACTGCGACGCATTGAAGAATCTCAAGGAAAAGCGTGGGCCTGTAGGGAAGGGGAGACATACAACACGGATTGCAACAGTAGGTGAGGGAACTGCTGCACAGGAATTGCTTCCAGGCCTTTCTTCACCCCGAAGCATTGACGAATCCCAAGGAAAAGCGTGGGCCTGAGGCGAGGGAGGGGGTGAGGAAGGGGGAAACGCTGTCATGTAAATTGCATCTGTGCTAGCAAGGGCGAATTGGAGCTGCTGCAAGGGGAATGGCTTTCGGATATCAATGAGTAGCTCCCCTCAATCTGTGGGGGCAGAGAGATGGGTGAAGGCAGCAGATCGAGAGGAGGGGAATGACGCAGGAGGTTGTGAGAGGATGGGACGGAAGATGGAAAAGGCAGGGAAGGAGAGGCATGCTTGGATCATGTTGTGCAGAAGCACGATGCACTTGGATAGAAATAAGAGACGCACATTATGTTTTTGCTTTCGTTGAGGCGCCTCTTAACGAGATGCTGACCATGCCTTTGAGCTTTATCATGAGGCAACTACAAAACAGACTGACTCCCCACACCCCACCATTGCTTCCCCACTGATTAACCCCCCTATCTTCTGCGCACAGGAACACTCACCTGTCTCCAATAGGTGCAGTGAATATCTGCAGCAGAATTTTCCCACCCTCCACATCCACTAGTGAGGAGTCTATTTTTGAGGCGCCTCAAAAATAGACCCCTCACGCAGAATTGTCCCACCCTCCACATCCACCAGAATCCCCAACTCCTCATACTCCCACACAACCTTCCCCGAATTCAACCCCTATCTACCACACACACAAAAGACCACCCGATACCCCCCTAGCAAAGGACTACTCTCACCTGTCCCGAATAGGTGCGGTGAATATTTGCAGCAGAATGCCCCCTGCGTCCACAACCACCAAAATCCCCAGCTCCTCATACTCCCCCATCTCCCCCCACTGCTCCGTTTTGAGAGTCCTCAAGCAGTAGGCCTATGGCCCCTCACAAGCAAACGGACGCTCACCTGTCCCCAATGGGCGCAGTAAATATTTGAAGCAGAATTCCTCCCGCATCCACATCCACCAGAATACCCAGCTCCTCATACTCCCCCATCTCCTCCCCACTGATCAAACTCCCCACCCGAGCCCCCAGCTCCTTATAGTATTTAGCCGAGGGCCGGGGCAGGAAGGCAAACCCTCCCATGTCGCTCCGAGCTTTCATCTCCTTGACGGCTTTAACTATGTCCGTGCACATCAGCGCTATGTGCTGCACTCCTGCCCCGTTATAGTGCTCCAGGAAGGTCTCGACTTGCGTCTTATAAGGGAGACCGAGCGAGGGCTCCATTATAGGGAGGATGACTGTCTCCCAGTCATTGGCGAGTACAGTACTGTTCACGCCAAGGCCAGAGGGGTCAACGTCAGCAGCACAGCCAGATCTCTTCTTAGGAGTAGCACCACCACCACCAGCAGCACCACCAGCAGTACCAGCACCACCACTAAGACCAATCACCCCTCCTCCTCCTCCTACTCCCCTTGCTGCCCCCCCTCCAGCTCCTCCTGCCCCCATGCTACCACCCCCTCCTCCTGCTTCCCCCGAGCCACACGAATCCGTGAACTCGTGAAACCCTGAGAATCCCTTGATGTACCGAACCACATCGGCCAGGCTCGGCACGTTCCCAACCACATGGTCGACCCTGAAGATCCCGTAGCTCATCACTTGGTTCGACGCTGCCTCAAAGGCTGGGAGAAACGGGCCTGAATAACCCTTGGGGTTAACAAACCGCAGCACAGTGTCACCGTATAGAGTCACCTCCGCTATAGTCACACTCCCTCCCTGGCCGTTCGGTTTGATGTCTGTGACAGTAACGGGAGGGCAGATGGAAATGGCTCCGTTATCTACACTTGTTTGATAAGCAGCTTCGACGTCCTCCACTCTAATTCCGATTGCCCGGACTCCCAGCCCATGCAGAGCGGAAAATTCCCGGGCAGCCCGTGGCGAAAAACCTGGAAAAGGAACTCGCGAACGTCTAGGGTGTCCAGTCTCCCCCGTTACTGGTCCCAGCGGATCTGTACGCGTTAGAGCGGCTGCTTCGGAATAAGGAGCTGTGAAGACCAGCGCCAGGTCCTCTGCTTTCAGCACGAAACTGCAAAACGTCTGGTTACCCGTCGTCTGGTCCGATTTCGCCACGAGCGGCAGCCCCAGGCCCCACGAGAACCGTCCGTACGTGTTAGTAGCATCTCCGCACCAGAATTCGATGTGGTGAAACCGGTCCACTTTAAACTTATCCGTCCGCGGGTTACTTCGTAAAAAACTTCCAAAGCCGACGAGACCCGTGGGAGTGATGGCGGATTCCGTGCTGCGACGCCCATCGTCATCATCATCGTCTTCATCCTCCTCTTCGTATTCCTCGTCGCTGGAAGCGGGACCGTAGGTGTCGAGGCTCACGCATCCCGCCTGCTCCAGACTCTGGAAAAAGGCTTCTTGGATTCGTTGAGCGATATTTCCCAGCATGGCGGTCCGCGTAGCCTTCGGCAGTATGTGCAGCCTTTTTCGGTCAGCGTAGCGTTTGACGGTCAGCGTAGCCTTTGGCGGTCAGCGTAGCCTTTGACGGTCAGCGTAGCCTTTGGTGGTATGTCTAGCCTTCAACAGACTGTGCTGCCTGAAAAGGGGTTGCTTCAGCAAATGAACGTAGCAACCAAGTTCGAGACGCAATAAGCAGGTTCTGGAATCAGGACTCACTCTAGCCTATCAATCAAAGCATAAAAAGGTTTCAGGAATCAACACGCAGGAAATCACTGACGTGGCTCAGAGAATATCGAGAAGGAAGCTAACGAAACGACGGGTAAGAAGCACGAGCCGTGGAACCGCACGGAGCTGCTAGTGTAGTGGAATGGACCTGAAACATCAGGAGGTTGTTTCTTGAGCCGCAGATGCTGACGCAAGAGTCTCCCGCGTTGTTGAAGCGCGAGAAGAATGGTCCTTCAAGCATTCCCTTTCTCGTACAGGATAACCCTGCTCATACGCTCTAAGTTACACAAACCCTGCTAGAACGAAATGCATTTTCTACACCTCTTGAACTCACCATGGTAGCATGAGAGTTACGGGGGGAAAAAAACCCGAGCAAATTTCATATGTATATATATCTAGTCATTCAGTACTACGGAGAACAGCAAGAAGGCAAGCTAACGATAGAGCATCTAAATTATTCAAATGTCACACTAGATCATGTGCAGCCGATTCAATCAGACTGTCTAGCCAGAGCAACATTACGAGGATTACGCTGCAATATTCCTGGTAGGAAAGCTACCAGCTAGAAGGTGCTTCAATAATCCATCAACCTGACCTGCCTCTTCCCGGCTGCCCTTGCGCCAGTCCTCATTCGAGGCGGCAGCATGCAAGGCAACCTTTGCATCATCAAACTGCTGCATCAGAATCCCCACCTTCCCTGCCAGCTCATGGACACTCCCAAGCAGACCCGACAAGGTCGCTCTCTCCTCTTCCAACAGATCAGGCTTCTTGGATTTCTTGTTGCTGCTGCTGCTGCTGCTGCTGCTGCTGCTGCTGCTCTTCCTCCTGCCCGTGGGGGAATTAAACTGGCTCTTCGGGTTCTTGGTGGAAAACCGGTACTTGGCGGACGAAAGTTCAGACATGAGCAAGCCAGCAGCCGACCTGAGGTGAGACTTGGCCTTAACCAGGCGTGCATTGTGCTGTGGAGCCTCAAGGCTGTAGCTCAGCTTCTCAAGTGAAGCCACAATGTCAATGCTTGTGTAGGCGAACCCTGACAGACTGATTGATTCTTGGACCTGCGAAAACGCACATGCCAAAAGGCAGCAAAAGTCAGCTCTACATCCTCAGACCTTAATGACGAGGGTCAATGATAGAAGGTCAATACACACCTCAGCTTGTGCAAGACACAGAAGAGCCTCAGCATGCTCGAAAGGCACACCAGCCTGGGCCAGCCCTTCAACTGCAGCATTCAAGCTGCTGAGCCGATCTTGACCCGTTTGGGTGTCAGCAATAAGCCTGCATAGATCCAGACGAAGCATATTAGTAAGCACCACAAACTAAATAACACAATGCAGTGGGAAGAAGCGCCACTTCTAACATACCTGAGGCAGCGAGCCTCCTCCCCCTTCAGCCCATGCTTCCGGGCAGACATGTACGCACTGAATACCAGCCGCCTCCCCTCCTGCACGTGCCCATGTGCAAGGGCCGTTGCACCAGCTAACCGCTCCATAGAGACTTTGGCAAGGAGCGAACTTGACTTGTGCGTGGTTGTCCTCTGCTTGCTGTCGGTTCTCTTCCCTGGGCTTTCAGAGCTCATCTGCTGGGGCTCTGGAATAAAGCCTGAGGTTCCAGCGAGTTCAAGGAGCTTGCTTGAAGCAGGAGGACTGGAAGAAAGCTCAGGAGAACCTTCTCTGGACCTGCAGGCAAACGAAGGACTGACAAAGCGGGGTCAGGAAAAGAAGGCACAGAATAACGGATGGAATCGCGCTGCCAACGAATGATACATACATAAAGACGGGGTTCTCCAAAGTGCTCTCAGGAGAGAAGAGCTGGTTGTCCTCCTCCAAACCTGAACCGCCAATCTGAGACACGAAAAGAAGGGCACGGAACAGGGTAGAAAACAGTCAGATCAAAGAACAGGCCAAAATCGCGTGAATGGAAGCAGAACAGCAGACCAAACTTCATCGCACCTTAACGAAAAGCGAACCACCATCGGGTTTAACGGGCAACGAACCGCACTCCTCTCCATCCAGGACAACGATGCTTGAAGACTCCGGGCTCCGCAGATCAGCAGGTGGAGGATAAGATTTTGGTGGACTGTTGGCGAGAGGAGGGCTTGCAGAAGGCGAATTGGCTAGAGACCTCGAACGGCGGCCATGACACTTGGGAACAACGATGGACCAACTGCCATCGTCTAGACTATCATCCTGCGGCTCCGCTGCTGCGGTCCCTGCATCCTCCTTGACGACGTCTTCAACCTTCAAGTTCGCAGGTTCTCCCGCTGACTCAGACAGTTGGTCATGGCTGCTTGCTGCGGGACAGTTAACAAGTAGCTTTTCCGCCTCCCGTGCAGTCACCTTCTCCGACACGTTCTCCTTGGACGATTTCTTGGAGGACTTGCTGCTCTTGGAACCCTTTCCACCGTGCTTCCCCTTCCCTCCGTGTTCGTTCCGCTGCCTCCGCGAATAGATCTTGCGTTGGTTGCGCCTCCCTACAGTGTGGGAGATGAGGCTCGGAATCGGGTCGTACACGTCAGCAGCCCAGGTGACGCGAAGCCCGGCGGGACGCGGCGACGATCCCTTGAGGGCTGACTTGAGCCGAGCAACCTGAACACCATGTTAAAATGACGAAAGAACATGAAGAAAGACGCTGTCAACGGCTCGTTCGTAACTCAATCGACAAAATACAGTGAGAGGGAGGAAAGACAGTGCTCCAGACTACAAAAATGGGGGGAGGGAATAAAAGGCGAAGAAATTAACCGGACAAGACAGTGCTCTTACCTTCTCTTCACAAACAGTGCTCTGTGAGCAGACGCTAGCAGAGGCAGCCGATGCATCATTATCATCCTCCGCCGAGTCAGAAATGGAGACAGCAAAGCTGCACTCAGCCTCTACGTTATCCACCCAACTTAGCGATTCCGTTGTCTTGATGCCGTGTTCGCTGTACCCAAAAAAAAAAAAAAAAAAAAAAAAAAAGTGACGTCAGCACCAATTGGCAAGATGCAGAAATACTCAAGGAAACGTATGCAACTCGTCACAACCCACCTGTTAGGGGTTGTCTCGTCAACGGCATCTTTAATCGATGCACAAGGGTTTCCAACCCACCCATCTTCGAGCTGTCTAGAGATGTCAACTGCGCTAACGTCACTAGAAGGACTGGACGATTTCTCAACAGCTTCTACAGAAGTCCCAAAGATATCACGTGCTAGTATGAAGCTCACGCCACCACCGCCAGCATATTTGGGTCCCTCCTGTTGCACAAGCTTCCCACGAGCAGGAGCAGGCAGCGGCGCGCTCGGACAGCGAGCATATTCTTGAACACCCCTCGGAATGGGGTTGTTTTTCGGAGAATCCAAAATCATTTGCCAGCAGAAGTCACGGTTGCAGAAGGGGGATGATAGCATGAAAGCTGGGGAGGTAATGGCGTTGAAGGCCCGTGCTAGTCAATTACTTTCCTCCATCGTATGAAATGGCTCAGGAAGAATCAAGCACTGAAGGTTGGAAAACATATCCACAAGACCTAGGGTTTGTATTTGTAGTTCCTCCCCTCCCCTTTCTCCAGCCAACCTTCTCCCCTTCCCTTGGGATTGTTGGCTTGATTTGGCTTTGCTTCGAATTGGGTTGGGGAAAGGTTCGGTCCTCACAGCACAGCACAGTGAAGAAAGGGTCAACTCAGTGCGTTTTAATACGTTCTACAGCGGTTTATTCAATGTAAAATGGTTTGCTGAGACACCCCAGGAGGACCAAGCTGTCGCAGGAAGGAGCAGCTTGCAGAGCGGACGGAGAACTCAAGGTGGGATGGGGGATTGCGGGAATTGGGGGAGGTTGCGGGGCGGAAGTGAGCTGCGCGCTGCTCTGATCTCGCGGCTGTTACAGAACGGAGGGCGGAGGGTGTCATGTTGTGCAACTTCTGGAGGTGCGGTCGCCGCGCGCAGTCGCTCCGAACGTGACAGTGCACAGCCACATGATGTGAAAGTGCCATGCCATGTGATCGATTGGTTGGCGGGTGCAACGTATTGCGTGGAACGTACCCAGCTCCAGAGGCTGACGCGATCAGTATTTCATCGAACGGCCAGCTTCTTTCTGTGTTCGAATAGATGGTTCGATGTCAGTAGCTACGAGGTTGTCGTGATCCTGAAGCAGCTTTGGGGATGTCGCAGATGTATGCCAAACCACTGCACGCCACGTCATTTGAGTGTTGCTTTTGCCAGCCTGCTTGGAAAAAGCAGCGTGATTGGTCACTTCTCAGGTGTGACTATAGCCACGTGGCCATCGTGTCATCCCATCTCCATCACACGGAGCCTATATTACTGTACTCGACAACCTATCATACACCGCAATTCTACACCCAGAAACAGTTCCCCAATTCGCCATTGAACCATATTTGCAACTCAAAAAGATGACCACAGCATGAGATGAGCATGCGCCAAAACCTGTAAGAAATTCTACTCGATACCAGGCCGTACTATGCACCCGAATCGGTCAGGTTCCCCCAAACCCGAACCCCCAAACTAGGGTTCTAAGGTCCTCCACGCCTAGCCATACGCTCATCAATTTATCGGGCACCTCCAGGGTTCAAAATAGCCGGGTGAAATGCCCTGATTGCCCTGATTTTTCCGGGTATTTTTCATGTTACTCTTAAAAATCCGACTTGTAAAATTTGTAAGGCTGATTCAAGAAGTGTTCGCCTTTTTTTACCCTGCTAGAACCAGGGTTGGGCGCCTCCCAACCCTGAGGCGTCAGGGTAACTTGAAAATCACCCTGATACAGAAACTCCAAAGAGGCAAGATGCGTGCCAGATTTTGTGCGCGTGATGCCCGCCACGCCACCGCCGCGCCCCTCGTCAGTCCAAAGTTTGTTGCCCACCATCATCACATGCGCATGGGCATATTTGTTAACGTAGAAACGAATTATTACTAGAGGTGGAAACCTAGAACAAATACTAGTTGGTTGTACTCACTAGAAGCATACCTCAGTCTAGCCTATAACTTCTACATAGATAATATGTATAAGTTGACACACCCCCTAGGCTAGACAAGGGGTGAAACTAAACAAGAAGCAAACAGCTCAGGGCGGCACTACTAGTCCAACCACTGAGGCAGGGGTCTGGAGACCAGTCAGCAAGAATACAACCAAAACTCAAGCAAGCCAGGGTGGCACTACTAGTCCAGCCACTGGAGGT